TCCAAGAGCACTTTCTTCAGTCCAGTTGGTTCGTAAGTCCAGCAAATTTAGCCTGCGTACCCAATTGACAGTGTAGTACTGTACTGTCATAGGTTTATAATACGTTTCACACACAGATACCTAAAAACACACACACACACAATAAAGAAAACGTTTTTGATCTTACAGTACAGTGCTTTGAAACGTATAGTGGTGGTGGTGATTTAGTCACTACGTCATGTCCAATTCTTGCGACCCCAGGGCCTGTAGCCCCCAGGCTCCTCTGCCCATGGGATTCTCCAGGCAAGAACACTGGAGTGGGTTGCCATTTCCTTCTCCAGAAAAGTATAGTAGCACAGTACAGTAGCTGGCATCCAGGGCCTGGCATCCAGTGAAGAGGCAAGAAGAGTTAGTCCCTAGAGGAGGAAGAGGAAGTGGGCGATGGTGGAGCTGAAGGGTTGTCCCAGCAGGAGACGGAGGGCAAGCTGCAGTTCCTCTCATGCCTCACGTTCTGGTTCCTTGTTGGAACCAGGTGCGCATTTGCACCTTTGAAAGTTCGCCCCTGGAAGGTTGCTGTGGAGACGACTTAACTGTGGTTGCGCTAGTGGGGGAGCTCGCCCACTCCGAGCACTCAAGTCTGTGCATTTCTGTCTGGGACAACTCGGCCTGTCAGTGATCATGTCAGACGTGTGACCCTCGGGCAGGGCACCCATGGGCCATGTGTCTCGGCCTCCCACGTGATGGCGTGACTGCTGCCCACACACCAGAGGGGTCTCAGAGCAGCCTGGCTTTGCATCCTTTTCGGTTAGATGTTGGTTTAGATTCAGATTTTGTTCAGGCAACATTTCTAGAGATTGTTAAGTAAAGGTCTGTTAAACCACATCTTCCCTTTGATATCCTTATGCTGTCAATTTTTAAAGGTAAATGTCAAAAAATATTGTTGTTCAGTCACTAAATCATGTCTGATTCTGTGACCCCGTGGACTGTAGCATACCAGGTCTCCCTGTCCTTCACCGTCTCCTGGAACTTGCTCAAACTCATGTCCATTGAGTCGGTGATGCCATCCAACCATCTCATCCTCTGTCCTCCCCTTCTCCTCCTGCATTCAATCTTTCCCACTATCAGGGTCTTTTCCAGTGAGTCAGCTCTTCACATCAAATGGCCAGAATAGCTTCAGCATCAGTCCTTCCAGTGAATATTCAAGACTGATTTCCTTTAGGATTGACTGGTTTGATCTCCTTGTAGACCAATGGACTCTTAAGAGTCTTCTCCTAAAGCATCAATTCTTCAGCGCTCAGTCTTCTTTATGGTCCAGCTCTCACATCTGTACATGACTACTGGGAGAACCATAGAGTTGACTATATGGACCTTTGTCAGCAAAGTAATGTCTCAGATTTTTAATACACTGTCTAGGTTTGTCATAGCTTTTCTTTCAATGAGCAAATGTATTTTCTGGTTTGGTCCCATATTTTAATGATTATCTAAATTTTTTTCTATCTAAACTTGTTGACTAAGAGAAATTCACTTTCAAATAGCTTCAGTATTTATTTACTCATTCATGACCTGGCAAAGGTGAAAACAAGTGGGTACATGATAGGTGGAAAAAAAAATCTTGGTAACAATTCAGTAATAATATTATTAAGGCTTTTCACCTGTATAATTGGTGACTTTTTACTTATGAGATTGGAGCCATCACAGTGACTCATTCGATAGTATCTTATTTGCACCAGGTTATACTGGCAGGTAATTATATGCTCCATGTTGATGAGGGGAAGGCCAGACTCTGCTTGTGGGAACAGGAATCAGTACATCCAGAACAACTTGGCAGCATAGCTCGAAGAGAGAAAATGCACACAGGACTTGCCGATGAGAGGTTACCCACACAGAGGTTCTTTGTTTTTTTAATTAACTTGTTTTAAGATCATTGTAGACTCCCGTGCAGTTGTCAGATGTAATATAGAGTCCCCCTTGTAAAGCTTCTTCAGTCTCCCCAGTGGGAGACCATTTTGCAAAATTATGGTCCAATGTCACAGCAGGAAGTTGACACAGAACGTTTCCATCAGGATGCAGGACGTGTCCATCACAGACCCTTGTGCCGCCCCGTTATAGCTGCATTTGCCCCTCCTGTCTCTGCCTCCTCCTCAATCCTAGCCACAAATCTGGCCTCCATTTCTATAATTTTATTGCTTTAAGAATGTTTGAGTACCTTTCAGCCACAAGGTATCACCCTGTCTCCTCTCCACAGTGACTTGAATTTTAGATCTTTTATTACAGTTCTTCCTCAGGCCCTGGGCTCTGTTAGTTTTTTCCAGTCTTTTCTCTGTCGTTCGGGTTGGGTAATTTCTGTCATTCTGTCTTCCGTTTCAATGACTCTTTCCTCTGCCCTCTTCCATGGTCTCATCCTCCGAGCTTTTACTGTAGTTGTCATATTTCTAAGTTCTAAAATGTCCATTTGGTTCTTCTCGGTGTATTCTGTGTCTTTTACGGATTTTACCTCTTGTTGCCGAGGCCTTCTGATTTTCCCCTCGTTTCCACTGCACATGAGATCGCCCCAGTGTGTCTTTATCACTGCTGCTGTCAGGTCTGTCAGATCATTCTGAGGTCACCTGGGGGCCAGCCTCTGCTCGTGGTCTTCTTCAGTTGCGTCTCAGTTCCTCGCGGTTCCTGGTGCCCTGCGTCTTGGGCCTCAGATCGGCCTTCTCCTTGGGTGGGCAATCCCCAGCACCACTCTGGCTGAGACAGCAGGGGTGCCACCCGGGGAACTTGCGTGACCCCTGAGCTGGGGGCACGGTGGGGCTGGGAGCTCCCCGGCACTGGGGTCAAGGGGCCGCCTCACCACTGAATGCTGTGCAGATCCTGACTGTGACAGGCCTCCCCCGACACCCCCCGAGGAGAGGAGGAGAGCCCCCCGAGACTGCAGGGACTATAAGTTCAGGCTCCCCACTGCTCTGCCCAGCACTGCCCGCTGACCCGGGGCAGAGGTCTGTGCTCGCCCAGGAAGTGAGAGGACCTGCTCCCTGCTGGGCTGACATCACCCTGGCAGGGGTGTCGGGCCAAGCCCAGGAGGGTGGAGACCGCTGGGCTCCCCATTCAGCCCTTCTTGGCAGGAGGGTAGGGAACCCAGGGCTTTGTTCTCTGGGTGTTTGGTTAGAGCAGGACGCTTACTGTCTAGCTTATTTCCTGCACCTTTGACTAGAGAGAGGCTTTCCTGGGGAGCCTTGTCTAGCCTCTGGGTGCTTCTGGGGGGCAGTTTCTCCAGCATCCCGTCCAGGGTATGGGAGCAAAAGAAAACCCAGGGGACTTGCCTCCCTGGTGTTCCTCGGGTCCAAGATTCACACCAGTTCTGCTTTCCTCTCTCTCCCAGATCCGCCTCGTATGTGTTGTGTATGATGCCCAGGCTCTGAGATGCATCAGTCCTTGGGTGAAAAGTATGTCTTCCCCGCCCTCCTGTGAATCTGCAGTGTTGCCTTGTGTCTTAAGAGCATGAGTTACCTTCCAGTTTAGTTTCTTAACCTCCACCCTTGCCCCCCTCCACTTGTTATCCCCCAACCCCAAACTGGATTTCCAGGTGCTCTTGAAACATTAGGGGCTTCCCTGGTGAATCAGATGGTAAAGAATTTGCCTGCAATGCAGGAGACCTGGGTCTGATCCCTGGGAAGATCCCCTGGAGAAGGAAATGGCAACCCACTCCAGTATTCTGGCCTGGAGAATTCTATGGACAGGGGAGCCTGGCAGCAATCCATGGGGTCACAGAGCCGGGACATGACGTACCTACTGACACTTGAAAAATTGGAGGTTCTGGCAGTACTGGACTGAAAATCACAGTGTCCTTCCCCTTTGACTCTTTCTGCCGAGGTGTTGTTAATTGCCATTTATAGTCTGCACTGTGTTGACTGGTATCGCTTGCCTGCCGTATTCGTTTATGATAACTGGAAGGCATGGGGTGTATCTGGTACAAGGTATAGAATGTGTTCACACTCTGATTTAGAAGTCACCTTCTAGGAATCAACTCTAAGGGACTCCTTAGAGATGCCAATGGAAATTTATTTACATTTATTTACAAGGATATCCATTACAGAGTTGTTTGTATAACGTCAGACAAATGCAGAGAACCTAAGTGAAAATATCCAAGGATGCTGGGATACAATGATGATATTTTATTTTATCTTATTTTATTTTATTTTGTTTTTTTATTTTTTTTCTTATTTTTTAATGATGCTATTTTAAAAATCACACTTTTGACATGGGAAAGGTCCACCATAAATGAAAAAGAAAGAGACTGTTTATATGGTATTATCCCAGCACTTTCTCAGTTTTAACTTCTGAAAGAAAATTCACTAAAATAACAATCGTGTTAACTTCAGCTTTTAATTTTCTTCTGTGTATTTTTCTGTACTTTGCAGATTTCGAACATAAATTATTCTTGTGATCAGGAAAAGAAAAATCTCTTAAAATATTTAAAAAGGCTTTTGAAAATGTATTCTGCTGTTATTAAATGAGAGGCAAAATATGATGCATGAGACATTTGGGGTATACTCTGCATACATAGAAAGATATTTTCCACAAGCAGTAAATAAATGGGACTATGTCTTTCTTTTTACTAGGAATTGCGGACTTTGATAGCAGAATGTTAACCTGCGTATCACATTAAAGTGATAAAATGAAGGATGAAGTGATGTAAAGATGGTATCTAGCCACTTTTATAGCTGCTTAATTTGTACAGTATTGTAAAGAAAATCCTTATATTACCACCAGGGAGAAGGCAGCAGTGTGAGCTATCCTCAAATCATTACCATGTTATGGATTCAGCACATTTTAAGAGGCTGTGTTTAATTTCTCTGGAAAGTCCTCCTTTCTCTTTATAACATGAGTCACTCTCATGGATTATTTCAGGTTGCCATGAGGAGACAGGCCCAGATTTTCCATTTATGTGATAAGGATATTTGAAAGACATGTAGGTAGATATTTCTCTGGCACCAGTTACAGGAACTTGCTGACCTGATTATTTATCTTTTGTTTAGTTTGACCAAGCGGCCGATGCTGAGTTAGCCTGGATTAATGAAACAGAGAAGAAATTGACGTCTCTGGGTGACATCAGGCTTGAGCAAGACCAGACCTCCGCTCAGCTGCAGGTTCAAAAGGTGAAGACACACATTTCCAGTCACATCTACATGGTTTGTCAGCGTGCTCCAAGGAAATGCACTTGCATGACTGAGTGTAACTTAGTCATTTTAACTGCTTTGCCTAATTGTTCTTGTTTTAATCATACGCTCTCTTTAAAAACAAATCTTTTATTTTGGTAAATACAGACATTCACCATGGAGATTTTGCGACACAAGGACATTATTGATGAGCTTGTTAAATCTGGACATAAAATCATGAGCACGTGCAGCGAAGAGGAAAAGCAGCCTATGAAGGTACGATCTCATGCACGTGACCGCTGTGAGACCCGTGAGCAGACAGCTTTCACTTGGAGAAAAGCTCTTTTCCTTTATCCACAGCTGCTGTTTAAACAGCCAAATCATTAGTTTTAAATAAAGCAGGCTTACAGAATAACAGTGAGAAGAATACTCCTTAAGGGAATCACCCTGGGGATAATCTTTTTTAATAGACAGAAAAGCTATTAAGGTTTGAATCCTTGAGTAACTGGGACCCATTAAGCATCCAATTAATGTTTGCTGTATTATCATTGGTATTATCAGAGTAAATTGTTATTCTATACGTCAACTGTTGTTTATAGGCTTCAGGAACATTGGGTCCTCTGGAGCCGAAACAAAACCTGAAATACATAGTTCTCTGTAGCTTAAACCCATTCTGTGCAAAGCTTCAGTAATCCATACAGAAAGGAAGGAGTGGGATTATTAAGGAGGCTTTCAGTTTCTGTCGTTTTAACGATCTTTACGTTGGTGGGAAAGCAGCCTCAGATAAAAATGTTTAGTTCAATTCATATTCAGACCTCTGAGCAGCGTAAAGAAATTAACGCTTCTCATAGGAAAATAGCCCATGGCAGAAAAACATGTATGTTATACAAATGTCTATGCCTAAGATCCCGTTGAAAAGATGGTGCATTGCTTTTAAGGTATACCATAGGCAAGTAATAGAATGCACAGTGTGTGCATATATTTTTTCTCTTTTATTTAAGTACTCCACAGTGGCACTTGCTTTTAATATAATCTTTATTATTTTTGCAAACAATCTGATGTGAAAAATATACATGATCATGAAAGATTCTCTGTGTTATTCTGTGGTTTCTTAGGTTATTGTTGTGCTTTGTCTTTTGCTGTTGGATTATAGTGAATTTATACCGTAATCAAGATCACTGTGACCACCCCATCAAATCAGTGTACAGGATAGTGTTCTCCTTTGCTTCTCAGTCTATGTAATTAATTTTCCTGACTAGGAGGTCCTTCTAGAATTTCATTTGTGAAAGACAGTCCTTGTATTTTAACAGAAAGTAGTGTCCGTGTTAGACTTCCCAGGTAGCTCGGTGTTAAAGAATCCACCTGCGACTTGGGTTTGATCCTTGGGTCAGATAGGTCCCCTGGGGGAGGACACGGCAACCCACTCCAGTATTCTTGTCTGGCTCACCCCATGGACAGCGAAGCCTGGCGGGCTACAGCCCACGGGGTCACAAGAGTCAGAGGTGACTGAGCATGGACTCAGCGTCCATGTTGCCAGACCTTTCTGTCTTCTTCCAGAAGACCTGGAAGAATAACTGGAGAATTTTGCTTAATTGTGTTCGGGAAGCTCAATATCTTAGTAATACAAACTGGAGGCTTTTTATTTATGTGGGGGCAGTTCATTACCTAGTATTTTTTGAGAAGTTCTCCATGTTATCAAGCCCCCTGATTTTTGACGACTGCTTAGAAATTCATGAGTATAGGAACATACACTCGTTTATTACCCTGATCTTCAGTTGGTGTACTTTTAAGACGTTTAACACATTTTTGCTATTTTATACATGCATTTTTTTTATTGTAGTAAAAGCACAGCATTTGCATACAGCATTTTCAGCCTTGAAAAGGAGGGACTTCCTGCCTTATGCAACAGCATAGGAGGGCCTTTCTTTAAGATGAACTTCTCTACATGGACACTAACTAGCCGCTGTTGATCAGTCATTTACCATGAGTGCTTACTCTGTTCCCAGTAAATAGTGCTGAACAAGCACTCTGGAGTGTATGTATGTGTTCCTTGCTCTGCCTGACTGGATAGACACATTTTGTCATCTGATTTTCTAGAGAAAACTGGACACGGTGCTGAAGAACTACGACGCCATCTGCCAGGTGAACTCAGAGAGGTACCTGCAGCTGGAGCGGGCGCAGTCCCTGGTGAGCCAGTTCTGGGAGACGTATGAGGAGCTGTGGCCGTGGCTGACGGACACGCAGAGAGTCATCGCTCAGCTGCCCGCCCCCGCCCTGGAGTACGAGAGCCTGAGGCAGCAGCAGGAGGAGCACCGGGTGAGCCCGGGCCCGGGGAGGGGACCGCAGCTGGCGGGGGCTTCTGCTTCAGACGCCTGCCGAGGCGGGGAAGTAGGTGCCGTGCGGGGTCTGGTTTGCACGGCCTGCTCACCTCTGAGTTCCACCCGGCTGTGCAGGTCTGCAGCGGGAGACTCATGCGGGCAGACACCCTGTGTGTGTCATCGTGACATCGTCACAGCTCTCAGCACAGGAGTGGTGGCGCAGAGGCGAAGAGTCCACCTGCGCCTGCCAGGGCGGGAGACACAGGAGACGCAGGTGCGATCCTTGGGTCAGGAAGACCCCTGAAGTAGGAAATGGCAACCTGCTCCAGTACTCTTGGCTGGGAAATCCCATGGACTGAGGAGCCTGGCAGGCTATAGTCCATGAATGAGGTCACAAAGAGTTGGACATGACTGAGCACGCACGCTCTACACCATGCCACTATGTGCAGTGTACGTGAAACCCTGTCTTAAAGTGTCAGGACATGACTGAGCACACACGCTCTACACCATGCCACTACGTGCAGTGTACGTGAAACCCTCTCTTAAAGTGTCAGGACATGACTGAGCATGCACGCTCTACACCATGCCACTATGTGCAGTGTACGTGAAACCCTGTCTTAAAGTGTCAGGACATGACTGAGCACGCACGCTCTACGCCATGCCGCTACGTGCAGTGTACGCTGAGTGCAACGTGAAACCCTCTCTTAAAGTGTCAGGACACAACTGAGCATGCACGCTCTACACCATACCACTACTTGCAATGTACGCTGAGTGCAATGTGAAACCCCTCTTCAAGTGTCAGGACGTGACTGAGCGCACACACTCTACACCATGTAACTACGTGCAGTGTACGCTGAGTGCAACATGAAACCCTCTCTTAAAGTGTCAGGACACGACTGAGCACACACGGTCTACACCATGCCACTACGTGCAGTGTATGCTGAGTGCAAAGTGAAGCCCTCTCTTAAAGTGTCAGGACACGACTGAGCACGCACGCTCTACACCATGCCACTACGTGCAGTGTACGCTGAGTGCAAAGTGAAGCCCTCTCTTAAAGTGTCAGGACACAAATGAGCGCACACACTCTACACCATGCCACTACGTGCAGTGTACGCTGAGTGCAACGTAAAACCCTCTCTTAAAGTGTCAGGACACGACTGAGCATGCACGCTCTACACCATACCACTACTTGCAATGTACGCTGAGTGCAATGTGAAACCCCTCTTCAAGTGTCAGGACGTGACTGAGCGCACACACTCTACACCATGTAACTACGTGCAGTGTACACTGAGTGCAACGTGAAGCCCTCTCTTAAAGTGTCAGGACACGACTGAGCACACACGGTCTACACCATGCCACTACGTGCAGTGTACGCTGAGTGCAACGTGAAGCCCTCTCTTAAAGTGTCAGGACACGACTGAGCACACACGCTCTACACCATGCCACTACGTGCAGTGTACGCTGAGCACAATGTGAAACCGTCTCTTAAAATGTCAGGACACTACTGAGCACACACGCTCTACACCATGCCACTACGTGCAGTGTACGCTGAGTGCAACATGAAACCCCTCTTCAAGTGTCAGGGAAGTGAGCTTTCGAAGTCCTTTCAGTTGATCAGGTTGATTTGCTTTCAGTGTTCCCTAATTTGGCTTAGTTTTATACTTCATAGTGGTTGTAGCCATCTGAAGGTAAGCAGAAGAAATATGTGGAAGCAGCCTCACACAGACAAGGCTGTTGAGCTTGGAGAAAAGAGACCCTTTAACAAATGTGTCAATGTTGTCCTGAAACTCTGTGAAAGGGAAAAAACTGCTGAAGTTTAAACACCAGTTGTCCCCCTTCTTTTTTTTAACCTTTTGTACATAGAAATCTTTTGAGCTTCTCTGCTCCTATAAGTTTACATGAGCAAATTAGAGAGTATTTTTCTATCTACAAATAAATCCTATTTTAGACATATAAAAAGGCATCATGAAGCCCTCATTTCTGCAGTCACAGAAATGTTGATTAAGTTAAAATTTTGCAAGGGTTTGAGTGAGAAGATTCAAGACTGTTGGAAGAAAGTCTAGAATTCTTGTTATTTATGATCTTGTGAACCTTAGTTGCTCTCCCAGATCTGTAGAAGATGTACTCCAAAACTACTATTATTCCAAGTTATTGAGTGTGTGCACATGTATAAAGTTTAACTTGGTATATTACATCATCATTTGAAGTAACATGCTTATTAGTCTTATTGTTTACTCTTTAAATGTATTGGCATTGGAAAGGATCTTTTAAGTATTTGTTTAGAAGAGCTTTAGAGGACACTTTAGTGCAAAATGGAAACTTTATGGAATTCTATCTAAATTGTTCAGTGGGACAAAGACTTACAAACTATGTATAATTAATTTTAGCAGAAAGGTTATTTTTGGCAGAAATCCTCATGCCTAGCCACTGAATGATTTTTAAGATAAAATATTTCCAAAAAAAAATTTCATGCATCTCTTCTACTCTGAGATGAGATTTGAGTAGCTGTTTTTCAGCATAACATCAAATAGGTCGACAAGAATCGTTACTGAATGGAAAATTTTAAAACTGAGTTAATTTTCCTTTTTGGCATAATCTTTCAGTTCTCAAAACAAATGTAAGATTTGTATGGAGAAAGAGGATTTCAAAACTTTGTAGCCAAATCTTCAAATTGTTCAAACTAAATTGTTCAGAATATTTGTAGCATTCTTCTTCAACTTCATAGCATCCACTTCACTGTCCTGGGGAACATCTTTTTGTTTATTCTAGCCAGGAGTGAAAAATGGCCCCCAGAGCCATGTTATAAATAAGTGGTAGTTACCTTGAAGTCACATCAAGTATCTCCAGCACGAGTGGGCTCTGAGGATGGTTGCCAAGAATCATTTTGTTACATATAAAGCAAAAGACCTCTCCTGTCAAGCCTTTTCTCCATGCACACATGTACCCAGCAGGCGTCCTCTGGCTGTTCTCTTGTCCATCATGGAGTAGTCTTAAGAAGGCTCATCTGACAACTTCCCAGCAAAGGTGTCCGGTCTTGATGCTACACAGGTGGGGCTTTCCTGATAGCTCAGTTGGTAAGGAATCCACCTGCAATTCAGGAGACCCCAGTTCAATTCTTGGGTTGGAAAGATCCACTGGAGAAGGGATAGGCTACCCACTCCGGTATTCTTGGGCTTCCCTTGGGCTCAGCTGGTAAAGAATCTGCCTGCAATGCAGGAGACCTGGGTTCGATCCCTGGGTTGGGAAGATCCCCTGGAGAAGGGAAAGGTTACCCATTCCAGTGTTCCAGCCTGGAATATTCCATGGACTGTATAGTCCATGGGGTCAGTTGCACAGAGTTGGACATGACTGAGCGGCTTGCACTGCACAGGTGACAGCCACTTAGAATCCAGGCCACTCAAGAGCTCTCAGCAGAGATTCCTCACTTTAGTGAGGGTCCATTAATACTCATAGTATGAGCTGCTTTTTCAAACATTCCTGCTGGGATGTTGAAGCCAGAACGTGGGTGACATGGTTCTTCTCCATGAGATTGTATAGTAGCCGACCCTACCATCATCACCTCCATTCTGTAAAACAGGATGAAGTTATCAAATAATGTAGAACAAAATGAGGAAATCACTGTGTGGACTGCCCAGGGGCTGTGCATAGCATGTTAGACTGATTAGACCTTCGTTCTTTTTTCATTTTTAAAGTTGAATTTTTTTCTTATTTTGCTCTTTTCCAAAAGAATTTTGAGACCACCTTCAGAAAAAAACTTCAAACATAGAGATATTGCACTGGAGTTTATTCATGATGTGCTGAACCGTTTTCTCAACCACTTTGTAAAGAATTTGCATGACTAACTTTAGTAGCCACTTTTTAAAAAATTATTGAAGGATAGTTGCTTTCCAATATTGTGTTGGTTTCTGCCATACATCAGCGTGAATCAGCCATAGGTATACACATGCCCGCTCCCTCTGAAACCTCCCTTCCGCCTCCCACTCCATCCTGTTCCTCGAGGTTGTCACAGAACCCCAAGTTGAGTTCTCCGAGTCATAGGGCAAATCCTCACTGGCTGCGGTTTACATGTGATCGTGTATACGTCTCCATGCTGCTCTCTCCGTTCATCCCGCTCTCCTTCCTGCAGACCCCCTGTGCCTGCAGGTCTGCTCTCCAGGTCTGCCTCTCCACTGCTGCCCTGCAGATAGGCTCGTCAGCACCATCTTTCTAGAGTCCATGTGTATGCCTTAATATGCGACATTCTTTTTTCTCTTTCTGACTTACTTCACTGTATAATAGACTCTGGGTTCATCCACCTCATTAGCACTGACTCAAATGTACTCCTTCGTGGCCACTTTTAAAATAAAAGTCCATGTGTGTGGCCATCCTGGTGATGCTGCTCAGTGAATGATGGAAATTAAAATACTTGCAGAGAAAGACCGTTTTCCTCTAGACTGTCTTTCCCGAGTGTAATTTCTCTCAGAGGAGCTTTTACCAGGGGCTGGATAGCAGTGTGGAAACGCACCTTCTGGCAAGGACGAGAAGCTGCTGGTTGGGGAACCTCATGAATAACGGGGTGAAACAGGGCACCTCAGTGCCATAGGACGCTGGCCCTGGGGAAGCCTGTGGGCAGTCACAGGGGGCCCAGACTCTGGGGAGGGTCACGATCCCCAGTGGATGCATCTCCCTAGAAGGAATGGGGCTCCACCTGGATTCCACTCCCCTCATTAGCATCACTGTCATCATATTTCTTGGTTAGATGATGTTACACAGAAAACTTCATGTGTCACGTGTTTTCTCTTAAGTACACCTTACAGTTAATACTCAGTATACAGCTGTGTGTTCGATAGATGGGTTGATTACCCTTGCAGCCATGAACGTTTAAAAATAAATGCCAATAGATTTGTTTATATACGTGAATATCATACAGATCACATATGTACATAGAATAGACTCACAGATATATAATGTAATATATATGGACACTTTTTTGTTGGTTTACATACAATATAATGATAATGCTTAGTGCATTATATTGCGTAGAATATATATATATGCCATATATCCATTCTATTCTATATAATTTGATGACAGTGCCTCACTTAACCTGTCATATTTTCTCTCAGCATCATGTCCACCATCTACTGACTTTCTTTTCCCTTCTTCTTCTCCGTCCCTCTCCCTTCCATCCTAACTTCTAAATAATTTTCATATGTATCACAAATGTGCAGAAAGGAACACTGAGAATTACAGCTTGGTCTCTGTAGGTTGGGACATAGTGAGTTCATAATCGTTTTATGTAATATGACCCTCGGCTAAAACTCTTGTTAGAGTGTACTGGTCTCAGTAGAAAGGTCGTAATGAATTGGGAGTAGGTGCTTCACTTCATCCAGAAGTTTCGCATGTGCCCTGAGAGGGACTTGACACGACCAGACTGTTGTTTAATCTCTCTGTCAGGGGCATCTCTTCCTGGCAGAGGGCTGCGCGTGCAGAGCCTTGTGATGGAGGGTGTGTGTTTGGAGTTCCGTGCCAGCTGGACGCACCGAGGATGTTGACAGCTGTGTGGTGGAGGTGCGCCTCTGAGATACTGAAGTGCTGTTTGCTTTGTTTTAGCAACTGCGAGAGTTGATAGCTGAACACAAGCCTCATATAGATAAGATGAACAAAACTGGGCCGCAGTTGCTGGAACTGAGCCCGAGCGAAGGCTTTTCCATCCAAGAGAAGTACGTGGCTGCAGACACACTCTACAGTCAAATTAAAGAAGATGTCAGAAAGCGAGCCGTGGCCCTGGATGAAGCCATTTCTCAGTCAACTCAGGTGAGGCTTTGCACTCGAATGCGACGGGCTCTCCCAGAACAGCGCTTGGGAGGATGGCCTCCAGGTCTCCTAATTCAACTCCAGCTGAAGTTGTTTCATTGCATTGACTCTTGAGTATTGATGTTTTAGTCTCAGACGTGATATTTGCCTGCATCCAGTCCTTACCTTTCTCTGCCTGCTTATATATAAGTAAGGCATAATTTTCAGTGACTTAAGAAATATGCAGTTGTCCAAACATCTAAATAAGTGTCCATCTAGAGTGGAATTCTATTGGAAGAGCTGAAAGAAAGTGTGATTATCATTATTAATAAATCATTCCCAAGACAGCAATAAGATGACTATAAAAAATGATAGGCTGAGGAAGAAGAAAGAAAAGTTGAAAAAAATTTTTTTTGGAAATATTTTTTTCAAGAAGTTTATTTGCAGTTATCTGCACATTTTCCATTTTGAAGGCCTGGTGTTTATTTTTAGATACACTGGCATGAGAGTGGTCCATTTCCTGTAATCCTGACTGACAGTTCGTTTAATGTTGAGGATCGTGTGAAATCTATTAATATAAATGAACAAGTGTTTATAACTTTGCTTCATTATCTGCGGTACCTTTGCAAGTGGAAATTTAAAATTCTTTCATGGATCTGATTATGGGTTAGACCATGAATTAAATACAAGCTTCCATCACATCTTTTTTTGTTGTTTTTTTAAACAATTTTTAGTTCAGGACACTTGTAACTTAAGAAATCTCTTTCATCTCATCAAACCTGCCCATGAATTTCACGGTAATAATGTAACTTTTTGAGGATGCCAAAATAATCAGTAAAGTGAATGAAACTATCAGGGTTGATAGACACCCAGATCATTGAACCCAGTTTTCAAAATTGTTATTTTGATTGTGGTGATACGAAGCAGTCGTCAGATGCTGCCGTCAGGTGGTCCGATTGTGTATTAACAGACACCATTTGTAAATGAGTGTATTTCCAAGCAGCAGTCCTGTGCCCACAGCAGTGTGACTCAAGAGAGGTGTGCACAAGCTGTGATTCTAGGCGTAGCCTCCCTCGCCAGCTGCATGTGTTCACAGTGGGGCCAAGGTTTGGTGCCCGGCCATGACTTTAAGCAGGAGTTGTATCGCTTGAATCCCACTGTGGTGTCTTTCCCCTGTGAGCGGCTGCTGTGCTTGACCTGCAGTTCCACGACAAGATCGACCAGATCCTGGAGAGCCTGGAGCGCGTGGTGGAGCGGCTGCGGCAGCCGCCGTCCATCTCGGCGGAGGTGGAGAAGATCAGGGAGCAGGTCAGCGAGAACAAGAACGTGGCGGTGGACATGGAGAAGCTGCAGCCTCTGTACGAGACCCTCAGACAGCGGGGCGAGGAGATGATCGCGCGGTCCCAGGGCACGGACAAAGACATATCTGCCAAAGGTGAGCCCTTTGGGTGAGGGATCCTCTGAATGTTACTCTTAGGGTGATTCTGGGTGTCCCCTGACAGTCCAGTTGCGTATCCACACACTGGAGTTTAGGAAAAACGTATCACAGGTGGGGCTTGTTTGGGGTGGAAGGGCTGTGCACATCGGTCTCTGGTTATTGTCTTCCTGTGTTTGTGAAATCAGTCCAGTAAATACAGCGTGCATCATGATACAAAAACCATGTGGTGTCCGGGCCCTTTAAATCAGGTGATTAAAGCATCATGCTGGTAAGACCAAACCTAGGGATAGTTTGTCCTCGTTACTGACTGCATTAACTACTGTAACGGGTACCTGACCCCACAGCCACAGCAGCGGCCACCAGGATCCTAACCAGCCACCTTAAAGGTCTGGCCTGGGCTTGAAAGGAAGGGCTTGTGCACAGGTCAGTGGAAATTCATGGTGAGGGGCTGCTAGAAGGGAAATGAAAACGCGTGTCCCTACCTTGTTTACATTCCAGGGACTGTGCAGACATCTCTATTCTTGAATTGGAGCACATAAAGAATAGACTGAACCTTTTTTGGAAGTAAGGCCAGCCTTGGTGAACTCAGCACTCTTTTGAGCTCAGGTGCCTCTGAGCGTTGTCCTGTGTCCGCAAAACTTGGTCCATAAGGAACAGGACACCCTCATGAACTGCATTTGTCTGGAAAGGCCATTGGGCCCGGGGATACCCACTAGATGGGCCACACCCACATTTGGCCCAGGTTTAGATCCTTGGCAGACAGAATTGTGATTCCTATGTGAGCTAGAACGTGGTGCTTTTGTTGATAAAAAGGTGTGTCTTCTCGATACCATTCTGCTTGTAGCTGTTCAGGATAAGCTCGACCAGATGGTGTTCATCTGGGAGAACATCCACGTGCTGGTGGAGGAGCGGGAGGCCAAGCTGCTGGATGTGATGGAGCTGGCGGAGAAGTTCTGGTGTGACCACCTATCCCTGGTGGTCACCACGAAAGACACGCAGGACTTTATCCGCGACCTGGAGGACCCCGGCATCGACCCCTCCGTGGTGAAGCAGCAACAGGAGGCAGCCGAGGTGAGCCGCGTCTCCCTTGAAGTTAAGAGAACAAGGCATTGCAGCCTGGATGCTGGGTTCCTTTAGTGTAAATATTTGGAATCGTGCTGTTAAGACTGATACTTGACTCTGGAAGTGGAATGCACAGGAGTGCATTAGGGGACAGAGCCCCCCACAGGTTTCCCTTCGAGACTGTGCATTCAGAAAGTGTCTCTCTGTCCCCACTGCTTCTGCCTCACTGCTGGGCCTTGTCATGTCCTTTTTGTCTAAGAAAGAATCCGAGCGGCACCCCGCCTGCAGTCTCTCCCCCTCCAGCCTCTAAGCTTGCTGCCCGTCGTCCTCTAGACCTGCTCTTGCCGTCCTGCTGGTTCGGAGCCCTCGGAGGTATCCATTACCCAGTATCCAGGTTACCTGGAACATGGGATCGGCCCTTTCCACCTCAGTCTAGCCCAGGCCTATGTTCCAAAGCCACTTTTTTCTCTTCTCCTTTCCCAGCCCCTTCTCCAAAGCAGCTATGCTCTTTCTAGCATTTGCATTTCGCACATTTTGTCTCCTTGCCCTGGGATGTCTCTCCTGACACGCTTCTGGTGAATCTCACTCAGATTCCGAGGCTCAGGTGGATCGTCACCCTGCACCCTCTCGTATTCTCAGCTGAGTCGGTGCGTCCCCTAGCACTCGCATCGCACGCAGGGCCGCAGAGGGTGACTTGCTATTGGTGGCGCTGCCGTCCTTCCTGACGGGCTTAGAGCCCTTGTCTCTGTGTCCCAGACGCCTGGTTTGGGGCTTGTTCATCCGTGGTCAATAAGTACATCTTGAGTGAATAGATGTAGTTAACCAAGAAAATGAAAGCAAAGCTAGAATACTGCATATCTTTATTTTTTTTAACAATTACTTGTTTTGTTTTATTTTTAATTAAATAATTTTTAAAATTAATTTATTTTAATTGGAAGATAATTACTTTATGATATTATGATGGGTTTTGCCATACGTCAACATGAATTGGCATTTCTGTCATAGGTTTGCTTTTTTTTTTTTTAACTTTACATGTCCTAGGGTAAAACCAAAAATCCAGAGTTAGATTATTCTATACCTGCTAACGCAGAAAATGCAGTACTTTGTGTGAAGTCTTTAAACTTATATGATACTTATGTCTGTTTTAAATGTGTATTGCCAAACTCATTGGTTTAAAAGACAAAACGTATTTCCATGCTTTTCAATATTGTTGATACTCTTTTAAAAAACTTATTCTGGTATCTGTTACATGGAATTACTTCCTAAATGTCGTCTTTATAGTAAACACTTGACATTTGTTCCCTCAAAGGACACTTGTTCTTGGTTTTTCTGTTCTCTTGTTGAAAAAATTTAGTGCAGAAACTTAGAAAACAGGTGGAAGAAAATAAAAATTGATTCTCATCCCGTCTCCTAGAGATAACTGCCATCAATGTCCGTGTGCATCTTTTTAGTTTCACTGTGGTTTGGCTTAAAACTAAGGCTGCCATTTCTTATTCTAGGTCATAAGGGAGGAGATAGACGGATTGCAGGAAGAGCTGGACATGGTTATTAACCTCGGTTCTGAACTCATTGCTGCGTGTGGGGAGCCTGACAAGCCCATTGTCAAAAAAAGTATAGACGAGGTACAGCCCCCATGTTTCCTATCTCATCAGATGGTCTTTAAAAGGATTCTGCTAATTAAAGCGTGTTTGACAGTGGTTGAAAACTTACTACGTGACACTGAAAAAGCTCTAATATTTCCATTGTAGCTGAATTCAGCATGGGATTCTCTCAATAAAGCTTGGAAAGACCGGGTGGATAGACTTGAGGAGGCGATGCAGACTGCTGTTCAGTACCAGGATGGACTGCAGGTAAGGCTTGCAGCGTCTGCCGGAGGGGAGGGCTCAGATGAAGCGATGCCCACAAATTCACGCATTGTATTGCCCTGTAGCTGCAGGTGTGATACAGTCACGTCACCTGTTTCAATTCATGCTGTGTCTTTTCAAAGAGATTTCTGACACTGGAGATACGTACAGATTTATAGACACCCCTTTACACACATTCAGTGAAATTTATTTTGAAAAAAAAAAAATTTTAACTTTTTAAGGTGAGAGTCACAGTATTTTTCATAAATGTCTCAATACCAGACAGTGAAGTGGAGCTGAGTCTGAGTTCCGTCCTGGAGTTGAGTGGAGTAAGATGAAAGGGGTAAACACTATCTAAAAATATCACCAAGTGTATGTAGCTCAAGTCAGACATAAAGAAATTTGATTTGAAGCCAGTTTTCCTGGTGAACTAAAATAGATTTCTATTTTATTAGGTCATAATCAGTCATGTAAGAAGTGTTTTCTTCTTTTCTGTGTATATAATCCCTTTTAATGGTTGTTTCTCACATCCCTCACAGGTTCTCCTTCACTTCACTCACCAGTTTTTTAGTTTATTCTGTAATATTAAAAATTCTTCTGTCAGTTGAGGCCAACTCAGGGATATTTCTCTCCTGCTTTCCTTAACCTTGTTCCATTTCCTGACAGCCTGGCGGGAGTTGAAGCCTTCATTCAACCATATGGAAAAGGCCTCTCTAAGTATTTCCATAACACCAAGAGAATATTATTTGTAAAGCTTAGATGAGGACATCTTTTCCCTTTGACCAGGCCACTTCATTTCTAAATTTGTAAAAATAAATATCACAAGCCCGGCTTTATGCCAGCTGAGAAGTGTTTTGAACCTTGTAAATATATAAAAAAATTCACTACAAGTGACACCTTATTATAATTCTCCTGCTTTTTATTTTCTTTTTAAATCAGTGTGATCGTTTACTGGTTGGGTATCAGCAGCCAGTAACCTGTCAGGCTCCAGCTCTGTCTGCAAGGCCAGTGGGTGATTCTCACGTCTGTTCGGCGGGTCCCTGGGACTGTGTCCTCTCTCTGCGCTGGCGATGGCGCTGCCATCAGTAGGCCCGGGGGGTCAGGTCCCAGCTGGACACTGAGGCTTCCTTTCATCACTACTGCTAGAAAAGCAAGGCCCTTCAGAGGTGCTGCTGGTCCTAGGTCAGTAGCATCACCTCGGGGATGAAGGGCAGTGATGGACTGAGTTGTAGCTCGGTGTCCAAAGCTGAAGACACTCACTCCAGAGGTTTCAAGGCTTGGTTGTCAAGGAAAACACATTTTATTTCCCAGGCTGTTGCTTAAGTTCTCAGGGCTTATTCCACTTTTTTCCTCCTGATTGTATGGCCTGGCAACTTCATTAAGTGGCAAAATAATTTTGTGTATTCAGTACCTAAAGAAAAAGTAAGTAGAACCTTTCTAGAATGTTTATATTGCATAAAAAGAATAAGAAAAATAGGAGAGTTTGCAGTTTTTTTGCAGTAAGAATACTGGTCTTTATATGTATAGGATTTTAATGCTAATCTAAATAATACATAAGAGTTTACTTGAGACAAATTATTTCAAGTGCCTAGCAGTCAACTTCTTGGTTATTTGAATCAACAGATGGGTTTGAGTCTTTTTCTTTCACTATATTTATGCAATCTGCCTTTTAGGCAGACATAAAAGAAGACAGATAATTTTATTCTATGTGGTAAGTTTATAAAAATTTTTTTCAAAAAGACTTTTCTTGAAAGTTCTGAATATTCTAAGATTCTATTCGAGATAGAATTCCTTCTTCAAATTTGAATATAAAATTGGAGATTTCATCTATTTCATATCTGGAATGACTGTTCCAGTATACTGACACTTACTTTTTTATAAAACAGGCTCCTTGCTTAATATCTTTATAGATTTATGATTATACTTTTCTCTCACACTTGAGGTGGTTATAGTAGTTTCAAATATATACTGTTATAATAATGTGACCTTGTGTGTTTTTCAGGCATTATTTGACTGGGTAGATATTGCAGGTGGCAAATTGGCTTCCATGTCTCCAATTGGAACAGATCTTGAAACCGTCAAGCAGCAGATTGAGGAGCTAAAGGTATGGGTAAGGGCTGAGAAATCCACCAGGCACGTTGCGTTCTTAAGTTCTTGATTCATGGGATGCTTTGTGCAGATTTTTCTATGTTACATAATTGAAGTGCTTCATTTTGATTATGTAACTGGTTTAATATAGTGCCTGCACATAATAAGGTGCATATAAGTGCTCACTCAATAAAGGATACGAAATACTAGTAGTATTTCTTACCGAATCAATACCGGTTTAGTATAGAAAAATCGGAAAATGCAGATAAGCAAACTAAAATGTTATGTCCCGAGTGGCAAGCACTCTTACATTTGATTTATAGCCTTACAGATGTCCTCATGTTGAGAGTAGGATGAGGTATGCATGTGTGTGTGTGTATGTTTTACATATTACCTATGTATACTATACTGTTGGGCTTCCCTGGTGGCTGAGACTATGAAGAATCCGCCTGCAATGCTGGAGACCTGGGTTTGATCCCTGGGTCGGGACGATCCACTGGAGAAAGGAATGGCTACCCACTCCAGTATTCTTGACTGGAAATTCCCATGGACAGAAGAACCTGGTAGACTACAGTCCATGGGGTCAGAAGGAGTCACACACGACTGAGCAGCTAGCATTTCACACACACTGTACTGTGAAGATTTTAGAGCTGAATTATTCTGTAGCATGCTGTTGTCACTGATAACATACACAGGCTTTCCCGATGGCTCAGCGGGTAAAGAACCTGTGCAGGAGACACAGGTTCAATCCCTGGGTCAGGAAAATCCGCTGGAGAAGGAAATGGCAACCAGCCATTGCCAGTGGCAACCAGTATTCTTGCCTGGAGAATTCCATGGACAGGGCCTGGCGGGCGGGCTACAGTGTGTGGGGTCACAAAGAGTTTGACACAACTGAGTGAGCGTGCGCGCACACACACACACACACACACACACACACACACAGCAACACTTCTGTTTTCTTCCTTGTTCAGAATAATTCAGTTAGTCTAATAGGCTGAAGGACGATCCTGTGGGTGGGTGGGATCACAGTGTTTCCCCAAATGTTTGTTCTGTAGATGTTTGTTGTTTCCCATCTGCTTTCCTCTGTAATTTTTCCTTTGTGTCTCTTGATCTCCAGCTGTGAAAATGGCTGGGCCGTTTCCTCCGAATTCCTCTGCTGATGCTCCTTTATCAAAGTGGGGGCAGTATTTCCTCCTGAGGTTTAAGTCTCCCTCAACAGAGGCATCTGTACCCCTTTCCATCAATGCTACTACATTTTTGCATAAAGTTACTATCGGGCTTTAGAAGTGTAGCATTTTCCTCTCTTGAGTGTGATATAGAATATTTCCGGTAGAAAAAAAAAAACTGTTTCTTTTTGAGAATTTTACTCTTGCCATCATTATTAGATTGTGATTTTTTTTCCACTCTGTCTGCTCCTGTAGTAAACACATGATATCGTTTATATACAATTACAGATGTGGAGGGTTTGTGCATTTTACATGTATCTCAGTGGTTTGCATATAGCAGACTAGGCGGGGTGGTTGCCTTGAAATCAGGTATCTGAAATTGATCCCCTTTAATCCACTTACCAGCCAAATGGTGTTATCTAACTGCTCTCACTTCTGTGTCCACAGCTTAGTTGAGGATAAAGTGATTTTCTTTATAAGTTTATTGAGAACACCTTGAATCTAGCAAATGTTCACTATGCTTTTGTTTTTAATTATTATTTTAATTTGCTTGAAAAAAATGAAGTGACTGCTTAGCTCACTAATCATTTACTATTTAATTATTTACTATTAGAGATTAAAATCAATACTTTATGAAAGGATGGTTTCCTATTACAAGTAACCCCTGCCTCACTTGTATTAGTTGGCAAAGATAGGATGATTACATACATGTCATTAAGCACCAAGAGAGAGGAATGTTATTCTGAGTCAGCACTGGTTGAGCCATAGGATAAATAAATATTAATAAACACAGCATGGCAGGGAATTCCCTGGCAGTCCAGTGCTTAGGACTCAGCACTCTCTCGGCCAGGGCCTGGGGTTGATCCCTGGTCGGGAAACTTAAGATCCCACAAGCTACATAGCCCAGCCAAAAAGAAAAAGAAACAAAACAAAACAGCATAGCTACAGAAAACATACAATGTTCAGTGAATGCAAGACGTGTATACTTTGAGCAGGAAATTAAGTTTGTTAGAGAATTTTTTCCTGGATTTCATATATGTCAATATATGTTTTGTTTTATTCTTTCCTATAGCCTCAAAACATTTATTAAATATGTATAATCAGACACTGGAAGAAGTTCATCATTGAAATTTGTTCGCTCTTTATTGTGGAGACAGAAGTGAAATAGCAAAACTAGAAAAACATCGTTCCATCAGAAAATGTTGAATAATAAAAAAAAAAAGTTTTCTTTTTTAAGTTAATTTTTTTTTATATTGGAATACAGTTGATTTACAATGTTGTATTAGTTTCAGGTGTGAGAAAATTTCCTTTTATCTATGCCTTTTTTTTAAAATCAGTAAACCCTGTATTAGAGTTTTATTCCTCTTCAGCCCACCCCAGTATGAAGTATGAATTAGAATAAAGATCTAACCCATGGAGTTTTTGTTTAAAGTTAGTGATGTGTGATGAATTTTCCTCATATGTCTCTTTTTTAAAAAACAGCAATTTAAGTCAGAGGCGTATCAGCAGCAGATAGAAATGGAGAGGCTGAACCATCAGGCGGAGCTTCTGCTGAAGAAAGTAACAGAAGACAGTGACAAGCACTCCGTCCAGGACCCGCTGATGGAGCTGAAGCTGATATGGGACAGTCTGGAGGAGAGAATCATCAACAGGCAGGTCAGTGCCGATTTCAGGCTCACATGGTAACGTAGGATACGGTGTTCCTGGACATCAACTTTGAAAACCCCTACATTCACTTGTTTCCTTAGAACTTTCCATGCTTCTCATGCCATTAAAAAACTTCTTTTTCAAACCTCAAATATAGGAGGATGTGTGTGATTGGCTTCATTGCTCTGCCGGTAGGCCTGTGCAGCACGAAGCAATCACTTGTTCACTCGTGTTTGGTAGACGCGGGCCGTCTGTCCTGCTGATCCTCTTCCGCCCCTCTGTCTGCAGCACAAGCTGGAGGGCGCCCTTCTCGCCCTGGGGCAGTTCCAGCACGCGCTGGACGAGCTGCTGGCCTGGCTGACCCACACCGAGGGCTTGCTCAGCGAGCAGAAGCCTGTTGGAGCAGACCCCAAGGCCATCGAGATCGAGCTCGCCAAGCATCACGTAAGTGGCTGTTACTGCACTGTCTGTCTCTTCTCTCTGCGTTTCTAGGGTCACCAGATGTTTCTGGTCTGTTTCCTTTTTAGGCATTTTATGGTTTTGACCTAAGTTTCTATTTGACATCTGCAATATAAGCACATTCCTTACAAGATGATACTGAAGATGTTTTTCTCATTGGTCAAGGTAGTTATTCTCTAAAACAGCAAGAATGGGGAATTTCTGGCTGAATTTTAGGAGGGCTGTGTGACCAACACTGCAGGGTTTAAATTCCTGATTATACCTGTCCTTGGATGACAACAGTCTCCTTGCAGGCTACTGCGTGTGTCCCCTCCGGTCGCCCTTCCCTTCGCGCATCTCCATTGCTGCTCTTAGGCTTTTGCCTATTTCTGTCTGTCCATGTCCCCCTAATCATGTTGGGGTTTATCCTGGCATTTCTTTCTCGTACTTTTCACTGGCTTTTTCTGTCTCTTAGTCTTTTCTTTCCGAGTTAGCCTTTTAAAAGTGTTTGTTGAGAAGAGTTTTTACATGTCCTGTGCTTGATTGAAAGCTTAAAAATGGAAAATGTTTACCTTGAGACATATGCAGAAGAGTGTCATGTTTTCATCATCTTTGTGACACTGGTTGATAATTCTTGGTAGAAAATTCTGTCCGTCTTAGTCAAGTCATGAGGTTTAATGAATAAAAGTTATGTCCTGTAGAGTTGATCCAGACATTCAGCAGGCTCTCATAGAACTTTTAACATTCACATTATGTGGTATCTTATTCTGATCTTAATAAGTTTTCCTTGATTATCATATTGAAACATTGGATTATTTTACATGTTAACACCACTTTAAAATAATAGGTTTCTAGCACTTTAAGGTCATGATATACAGTTTTTTATTATTCTTGCTTAATTCCTCTTCCTTCATGTGTCTCCCCACAGTAATTGTTGCCCAGTTTAAATTTTTCTTCTGTCTTTACCCCGTTCTGTCTGTGTTTACAATCATCACCCAGCTATGATTAAGCAGTTAGAACTAACTTTGCATTACCAATATTTGTCCTCATTTAATCTGTATACTATACCTTTGCAATCAGAGTGACTCTGCATGTAAACAGAATGTTTCTTCTCATAGTGTGAGTTTATAGCATTTACAGTGTCACAAACTTAGCCATTGTAGTAAAACTCACATACATCAATGACAGGAACGTTGTAGAAGATGCTAGAGGTGGGAACATGAGGCACCCTGGTCCAGTTATTTTGCAGGGATGAGTTAGGAACCCTTAGTTTTCTTTAGTTAAGGATGTTTTCTCCTTGCATTTTTTAAAATTTTCTTAATTTTATTGATGTGTCTTTGATTTACAATGTGGTATATAATTTCTGCTGTATAGCAAAGTGACTCAATTATAAATATATATATTTATTCCTTTCATATCTTTTCCATTAGTTTATCACAGAATATTGAATATAGTTCCCTGTGCTATACAGTAGCACCTTGTTTATCCATCCTCCATACACTAGTTTGCATCTGCTAATCCCAGACTCCCAATCCTTCCTTCTCCCTTCTTCTTCCATTTCTAAAGTCACAGTTCAAGGATTCAGAATTGCCAGCACAGTTTTTGGAGAAAGGAAGGGAATATTCTCATCTCTGTCTTATGCTCTGGTTTCTAGGCTGTGGCTTATATAGCGGGACTCTGAACATTTATAAGAATGACTTATATAATTATTGTTTGCTTTTATTGTGAAAATACTGAGCTCTTACCTTTTGAAAGTGGTTCCTACTGTTAACATGTCAACGTACCTGCTTCTTATTAACATCACTCCTTTCTCAGCTGACTTTATAGCTTGTGAAAAACCCTCCATCACCAGATGCCCCAGAACCTGAGTGAATGGAGTCAGAGGAACAGTGATCACAGGTGGTTCATGCCCTTGGCTGAAATCCTCCTGGCCTGGGGTTCCCCGTGTGGGACGTCCCACCCAGGATAACACACTTCTGAGTGTAGAGAAGGATTATCACAGACTTTTACTAACAACAGAAGAGGATTTCTTCTGGTTTCCAAAAACATAGCACAGTCTTTGTGAAAGGAAACTATTCCTGAGCTGTTATTCGTTCTTTAAAATTCTTTTCAGAATTCTTTTTAAATTCTTTTAGCCTTGCAGTTGCTTTCTGTACTTAACACTCTTGTCCATGTTAATGCATTTAAGTGTTATTAATCTGCCCTTATATTCCCACCGGATAATAGAATAGAAAGGTATTATGCACTGGGGTCTGTCATAGGCATGTTATGTGTGTATTTTCTAGTAAGAGAACAGCTAAATGGAATGCTGGGCTCATGCATCCCCAGTAGTTGGTGAAATCTCTTTCCCATTAATAGTAGAGCCTCCTGGGGTTCCTGTCAACTTAAGAGTTAATTCTGGCACCCTTAAAACCTGAGATGATAAAAGAATATTCTATGATCATCATTTGTTTACTTTTTAAGAGTACTAATTGTAAGACATGGGAATGTATTCATTTTATATTCAAACATATATCAATATATTAATATATGTTTGAAATTGTTTGCCCAAGACATGAAAATTAAGTTCAATTAAAATGAGCTTGAATCAAATGAATATTTTTAAAGTCTTATAACTATAATCTCTAGATAATATCATCAACTGCAAAGCTATTCTAATGGGAAGCACTAGCAATGTTCTCATCTTAATCATTTCAAGGGATGTTGGTAGGTTGAAGATAATACTCATCAAAGCTGCAAAGCTAAGGGGAAAGAAGTGCACCGTTTTAAAAAGTTCACAGTATTAAAATTCTATGTATATGTTGTTTTAATTTCAAAAGGTTTCCTAACCAGGAAATAAAACAATTGCTCCAGAAGCGATAATAGTTGATTACAAACTAGCAAACATAGTAAGTGGTATTGGAATATTTTCAGGTGCTCCAAAATGATGTATTAGCCCATCAATCCACTGTGGAAGCTGTGAATAAAGCAGGAAATGATCTAATTGAATCAAGTGCAGGAGAAGAAGCGAGCAGCCTTCAGAACAAGCTGGAGGTTTTGAATCAACGCTGGCAAAACGTTTTGGAAAAAACAGAACAAAGGAAGCAGCAGCTGGATGCTGCCTTGCGCCAGGTGAATAAGGGAATAAATCCTGAAATTTTCCGTGATCTTCAAGATCAAGATGGCACGGCATTCTTTGATTGGTTTTCAGACCCCTGTTTAGTTTTTATACCTTGGGGAGAGGAGTAAAAACAAGTGGGATTAAGGAGCAGAGCTGATGAGAACACAGCTTTGTACCTATTAGCCTGGTGGTCTGAGCTCCTGACAAAGAAGGGTAGGTGGTCCAGAGGCCCCTGCCGTTGCTCAGAATGCATGGCGAGACTTAGCAGGATGCTTAAGCTTTGTTTTTGGCTCCAAAGTGACCATATTTGGCACCTGTCCTTGAACCTCTCTCTCACTCCAGGCCAAAGGGTTCCACGGTGAAATTGAGGATCTGCAGCAGTGGTTGACCGACACAGAGCGGCATCTGTTGGCATCCAAGCCTCTGGGAGGTTTACCAGAAACAGCCAGGGAGCAGCTCAATGCCCACTTGGTAACTATATTGTTTCCTCCAGTTCTGGCCTCAGATTAAGAAATTGACCCTTTTGTATAGGCCCTGGTGGCAAATAAACCATAGGTGAAGGTTTAAAGGCGATTCAGTTTTGTAGCAGAAATGTAAGTGGTGGACACACTGTTGATTAAATGTTGGTTGAATTTTTAAAATCACAATCTCTGTTTTAAAGTGTAGTGTGTCAATATATGAAAAAGAGGTTTTAGAAGTCTAGACCTGTTTTTTAGAAGCAAATCTTCCCCCCTAAAATGATAAACTTTTATGGATAGTAATAGGGTAAATTTTAAACTGTGGTGCCTTCAGTGAAAAGAAAAATCCCAAAAGGAGTCAGAATGAACTGAAGAAGTATTGCTGTGAGCATGAGATTCTCACTGAGTTTCACAGAAGGCTAGAAGATGTGTTCTTGTCCTGTGAAGACAGAGTAACTTATCTGCTCCTTTTAATGTTGGTGGGGCTGTGCCTTCAACCTCACACCCACCAGGTTAGGACAAGAGGACGCTTGTTTTTCACTGTCTGTCCCCGAGCAGTGCCTCCTGCATACGGGCTGTTCCCACTCAGACTCTGTAGCCCTGTCCACTCTTAATGATAAGGAGGAAAAATAATGAAACTCGAGATTCTGACTTTCTATCATGGCAATATGGAAAAATTAGACTATGTTTGATCTATTGACATTGCCTATTCATTTCCCATCATAATTCTACTCTAAAAGTTGTAAGAGAAAGCAGTGTGTTGCAGGTGTTGAAAACTAACCCTCTAATTTTTATATTTATGAATTTGCATCAGAAATCTTTTTTAATATTCTAACATTTACAGTTAGCATCTTAAGAAGTAAAAGCAGAAGTACTTAACGGTTTGGTAAAAGGAATAGTCCATTGTATGTGAAAGTCTGTCCTCTTTAGTAATTCTCATGTTACTGTAAAATCCTACTAATAAAGCTGCACTTATTGGGGATAATTTTGCATTTGATGATTTGGAGAGGAAGTGCCATCCTGTAGGTGTTGTGAAGAAATACAGCAGAGGTAACTTTTATTACACAGTAGCTGCGAGCAGTTAAAATGAATCCTATTAGTCCAGTAGAGAATTTTCCAGAGTCTATTTCCTTGTTTTAGAAAATTATTATGTATGTGGCTTTGTCGTTAATATGTTGGGTTTTTGGTGCCACAGGGTACTCATTTGTTCACTGAAAAAGTAATTGACTAAGTAACTTGGGAGTAGTTGTCTTTTCCATAAATCTGGCTGTCTTCCAGTTATCTCCTTACTTTCCAAAGAGTACCTGCATAGCTGTTACGGTCCATCAAGTATAAGTTTAATGAATTCTTGAGCAAACATGCTTGAGATGATTGTCTAATAACAGCTAATTTTTAAATGTTAATTTAGAAGAATGTAAAGAAGTTGTTGGAAAGCAAAGGACTTATCGTTAGAATATTTTATTTTAGAAAAATATCACATATCATCCTGTCTGGTTTAGGTAGGATGTTTAAGATGAATTTGCTGACATAATTTGCTGGATTATAGAATTCCATGATTTAAGGAATTATAAAGAGTTACTGATTTTCATAATACTGTTTTAGTCATGTTTTGAATTGGTTCTCTTATACATGAAGGAAACTAGAAAACTTGTGTTATTACTATTTCCTGAGATTTAGCTATATTTAGAAGCTTTCCTTCGATTAGGTGATATTGTAAATGTGTTTGGAGGAGGATTTTTGTAAATATGTTTAGAGAGGAACTTTATAAGGTTTTAAGAAATTACAAAGTTTTGAGGCAATAAATTTTAGAATTAATAGTGATTGTTGCACATCCTTATGACTATACTAAAACACTAAATTCTAGACTTTAAAAAGGTTATTTTTATGGACTGTATCTCAGTTTTTAAAATTAGAAAACAAAGTGTAAGATAGTATATAGTTTTTCAGTGAGAGCTATGGTTTGACTTACATTAAATTAAATCAATATAACTGGTCTTATTTTTTACATGAATGTAACTAGTTTCATCGATCTTCAATTTTGAATCTATTTAAGAAAAATTTTTTTATATTCCCTGTAGAAGATACACAGCATTCTAGTTGAAAACTTAAAATGTTATACGAGAGAAGAATATTCATAGGGCCACCAGTCTGGCTTCTGTGATTTCAAAGTCTGAGTCATCGACTTATGTCTTACTATACTGGGTCTTTCCTTCTATCCACTCTAAGTCTTCTGAGCATATAATTATGTTATACAAAAAAAAATCATAGTTGTTGTCTTATGTCCCAGGGAGAGACTTAGAGAACCCATTTTACAGAGAGGAAATTGAGGCTCTCGGAGGTTACGTTATTCACCCAGGGTCACAGAGCTGATTGGTCACTGTACACTGAAACCTTTCGCAGTAGTGTTTAAAATATCGACATATGTGAGATGGATTGATAACAATCGCACCATTTCTAGGGTTTCTTGGTAGATACCGTTCAATTGTAGGTTTAGGTGTTCTTTCAACATAGCGGGTTATTTGTGTGCTGGATGGATTGATAATGTGGAAAAAGAACTCAGATTTTGTTCTCTTAAGTGACGTAATTTGGGGGAATATCTCCATTTAGGAAATCTGTGCTGCCTTTGATGTTAAAGAAGAAACATATAAGACTCTGATGCAGAAAGGCCAGCAGATGCTTGCAAGATGCCCCAAATCAGCAGAGACAAATATTGACCAAGACATAAATAACTTGAAAGAAAAGTGGGAATCAGTGGAAACGAAGCTCAATGAAAGGAAAGTATGTGCCTGGATGAATGCTGTAGAATGAATGTCTTGGTTTCATTGCATGAGTCTGACCTTATCTCTGAGTAAAATGTCAGTGGAACTTTTAATGACTTATGTTTAAATTTTCTTTGTATGCATTTAGACATTAGTGGGTTCTGAAAATAGTATTCTGTCTTAACATAGGAGAGCAGAGTTTAAGGAACCTATTCAGACGCAAATAGAGAAAGGTATATCATAGATCAAGCATTACTAGATACAGTTTAAGTCTGTGAACCACTCAAATTCTGGGTGGTTAAGTAATTTTAATCACACGTATTAAGCAAAAGGCAGGCTGTATGTAAGCTTGGGGTGGGGGGAGGGAGACCAAGAAAATGAAATGAATTGTATATATAAAAATAAGCACTTATGCAACAAAAATCTTTGAGAGGGAATTAAAAATATTATTGTTTAATCATAGAAAAATGATGCACTTGGAATACTAGATTATGTACCTTCACCAACAGAGCTAATGTATATATATTTCATAGTATTTTGACCCCCAAAATAAATTGTATGCATGTCAAATTTTCTTTTTCTACATTCTGTTTCGTAATTTATGTTCTGTTGCTGATTGTTCCCAAGGCATAATTTTAGTGTATATAAATTCTTTTTTACCTGCAGTGCCATGCTTCTCACTCTACTTGAAGGGACTTGGTTAGCTAGTATTCAGAAACTGTCTGGGAGAGATGCAGAAATATAGCGTGGATGGAAAGGAGATCTGTCAGAGAGTGGCTACACTGGGGGGGAAGCGCCTTGAATCCCACAGAATGCTCACTAGTCCGTCTTTGCAGGTAAAACTGGAAGAGGCTCTCACCGTGGCCGTGGAGTTCCACAACTCCCTCCAGGACTTCATCAACTGGCTCACCCAGGCGGAGCAGACCCTCAACGTGGCCTCTCGGCCCAGCCTGATCTTGGACACCGTCTTGTTTCAGATCGATGAACACAAGGTAAGCTGCAGTCCTGACGCACAGCACTCACCTCTAGAACGTTTTCAGGCATCAGGCTGTTTTAATGGGAAAAACGTACATTTGATGGTCTCAGTAGTGTCTTTTGTCCTTTGAGACCAGCTCATCATCCCAGAAGCATTTCAGGAAGGATCCATTTTTCCTTATCATGTTTTTTTTTTTTTTTTGGAAAGGTCTTTGCCAATGAAGTCAATTCTCACCGAGAGCAGATCATAGAGCTGGACAAAACTGGAACCCACCTGAAGTATTTCAGCCAGAAGCAAGATGTCGTTCTCATTAAGAATCTTCTTATCAGTGTACAGAGTCGCTGGGAGAAAGTGGTTCAGCGCTTAGTGGAGAGAGGAAGATCTTTGGATGAAGCAAGGAAGAGGGCCAAGCAGGTAAACCTCTGCAAAGATCCTCTGACTAGGCAGTGACTCAGTTAGGTTATTAAATATATGTTATGTTACTAAAGTCCTTTTATGGCAGGCTGTGCCTTGTGTAGTGGTCATGGCCCAGAGCCAAGGTGTTTATTTCCTACAAGGAGCATGGCCTGAGTGGAGGATGATCTCACTTTCTGAGCTGGCAGCAACCCCAAGCCCTGGGGATCAGCCTTGGAAGGACTGATCTGAGCTTGATTTCACTGATGGACCCTTATCATTAGGGCTCGAAAAGAGGCTCCATATTTTTGTTGTTGGTTCTATTTGTTTTCTTTGTCCTTCCAACCTCCACTCGCATACTGAGAGTGAGGCAGTCTATTACACTGCTATGTCTGTGTAGCTCCAAAACCAGACTTCCTCCCCACGCAGCCCCCAGACAGCTTTCTGAAGGCGACAATGGGTCTGGGCTGGCGGGCCCCCTTCTTCTCTCCCCGTCCGTCTATGCACGTGTTGACAAGCCTTCCTTTCTTCTCTGGTTGGACATCGCTCCATCCTACTTTGAAATGAACTGTTTGAATCTTGGGGGGCTGGTTTTTTAATGTAAAGAATCTCACAAGGAGCTTTTCTTCCATCCTTCATCTGTCATTAATATTCTATTCTAGACTGACTGAAAGCTGGAAAGTACAGTGATACATTTCTGTATTCCAGGGAAGAAGGAAGATACACACCCCTCCCCCACCCTTGCTTGGCATATAGCTTTGATTTTTACTAGGAACTTCTTGGAATAACATCTTTATCATGACTGTTTGGAACCCATTCATTTGCATTTGTCTGGCATTGGTGTTGGACTTGGTTATTTGGGGAGCGAGGTTCAGTTGGTCGATGCAGTAGACGACCTGGGAGTCCGGTGTTGGAGTGTTTCAAGCAGCCAGCATAAAATGTTTAAAGGCTGGAGAAATGACAAATTGCGTTGTGATAGGATTACAGGCCGCGTGTCTCTTTTTGAGTGGGAAGTGTGGTGTGTTCCATGTTATAAGTGCGTCTCTGGAATGGAATCAGCCTGGATGTTTTTGTAGGACAGCACTCAGGCCAGACCCGCCGTGTCTCCTCCCGCCTATGCAGCTGTCGGCTATCCTGGAGGCACTCTGAGTTAGGGACGTCTGATCACCAAAGCCTCTTGGATGTCCGTTGCCGATTGGCCACTGTCTTCCACCTTTCTCTATTGAATCCATCTTATTTTCTCAATTTGTTCGGTTAAACATGCAAAGATGCTGTTCTCCATGCAGAGGGATGTTGTTTCTTCTGTTTGAGTGACTTCAGAACACTTCTGAGAGCAGAACCAGCCTCATAACGTGTGCGTTTATGTCCTTGTACTTACTGCTCAGCTGTTAGAGGCTGTGCTGTCTGCAGATGGCCCAGCCCCACCCTCAGCTGTTTATTTATTTATTCTGGTATCTCAGGTTTGGCTCAGATCTTGGCTGCAGTTCTCTGACCTGGGCAATCCATGTGGCTGTCTGGCCTCTCTGTTCTCATTGCTAAGTTGATTACATGTGGGGGAGGGCCCTGTGGAGAGTGGGTCTCTATCGAGATCGTCTCTAGTGGACCTTCCCCGCTTTGCGATTCTGTGCTTTCACTGTGCTTGTTGTCAGATGTCTTTTTGCCATTTCACTGTTCATGTTCTTTGATAGAAAGCAGACTTTTGATTACTCAAGTTTTTGCTATGTTTCTGTTCCCTTGAGTTCCTTAGAAGAGATAATTTGTAACCAATTTCCCAGTTTGGTATCCAGAAACAGTACCAGCTGAAATCAAATATTGGATTGGCCAAAAAGTTCGTTTGGGTTTTTCCATAAGATGGTATGGAAAAACTCGAATGAACTATTTGGCCAACTCAGTATATATAGCACCAGAATAGTTCAAGGTTGAAGACAGAGATAATTCTGTTTTGCTAGAACTCAGGTACGGTGGGCACTCATATCTAAAACCAACATGGGAGGCTCAGGCATTGATGGGAGGGTTCAGAGAGCAACAAGAAAGACATTGAACTGTCTTTGCATTAAATAGGAATGTAATGGTCTCTTTTTGTTAAAAATGAATGTACAAACTTTATTCTTTTTGTACCTCTCTTATCATAGGAATTAAACACCTGAGAAGTAAACCTGTATCTGTCGGGAGACAACAGCAGAAGCCTATGTTACTATTGTTTTTTATTAGTTTATTGAAGTATGGTTGATTTACGATGTTGTGGTTAATTTCTGCTGTGTGGCCAGGTGACTCAGTTATACAAATATATATTCTTTTTCACTGTGGATCATCACAGGATACTGAACAGAGTTCCCTGTGCGGCACAGCAGAGCCTTATTGTTTATCCATCCCGTATGTAACAGTTTGCATCCGCCAATCCCAGCCTTGCCAGTCCTTCCCTTCCTCACCCTCCCTCTCAGAGCCGCAAGTCTGTTCTGTGTCTGGGAATCTGTTTTGTTTTGTAGAATGTTCATTTGTGTCATATTTTAGATTCCAATCAGAACACCATTCGGAAAGCCAAATGAAAAAAAAAAGAAAGCAATATGAGAGACCTGTGGGATAACATAAAGCATGCCGGTCTGTGCTTATGTTAAGTTATGGAGCAAAAGAAGGCGTGGGGCGTTCTGCCTGATCTCCCTGCCTGCCCCAAGCCCCACTTCTGTTTCTGTTAAAGCTGACCTGTTTGAATGAGTTGTAACACAGTGACCCTGGGGCATGACCACAGAAGCCTTAACAAGATGTTTTGTAATCTGCTGATGAAAATATCCTTTCTCCTTCTTCAGGGAAATCTTTGAATAAATAATTTCTTACATTTCTGTTACTATTAGTTTCTGTTTAAAAATGTACTTGATTTCAAATCTAGTGAGTGTGCCCGACTGGACAAAGATGTGAATTTCTTTTACAGTTCCATGATGCTTGGAGTAAGCTTATGGAGTGGCTGGAAGAGTCAGAAAAGTCTTTGGATTCTGAACTGGAAATTGCCAACGACCCAGACAAAATCAAAACGCAACTGGCACAGCATAAGGTGGGTGGGCAGCTAAAGGAAGCACATTGTGTCATTGTACGTCTCAAGGTCACTTTGAAATTCTTATCTGATTGTGCGTTTATCCGTCACAAGCGAAGAAAGGCTGTCCAGCGTGGACTCATGTCAAACTTAAAACCAGTTGCCCTTCGTGTTGGTCAAAGGGCAGTCGTATCTTTACTCTCCAAGAATCATTCCATTATGATCCCAGGATTAACTGTTAAAAGAAAACACACACAGCTAAAAGCGGACTTTTTCTCCTATCTAAAACGCATGAAGGATTTCCAGAGGTTGAACACTTCACAACTGCCCTGTCTTGTCATTTCTTTCATAGCCATGCAGAAGGTAACTGTGTACGGAAAAGAATGTAGGTTTTGCCATGTAGATTCCTTTAAACAGTGCAGCGGGGAAAATTGGTTGCCTCATCCTAAATTGATATTATTGTGTATGTGTGTGAAATTTCACCCTGTCCTAAAGAGGCATGGTCACCGACTTCCCTGTGCAGACAAGAAGATATGGAAACACTGTTTTTTGTATTTTCTAACGTGTATATTCCAGTCACATGCCATTCAAAGACCACCTCCCTATTCTCCCCAGCACTTTTGAATTTGGGTCTTTCTATATATTACTCTGTTTGTAATGTGAGCATCAGCCCTCAGGGTGAGAATGTGTGTTGAAGGAGTGTGTTCCTGCAAACGGTTTGTAATTTTAGGTTTTACATGTAAATCATTGCTTGGAACATGATAATTTTTAAAAGGCTATAAGAGAATTTTTGATGTAAATTTTATCTTCATCATGATATTCTAGCCATCGTGTTTTCCCAGGCTGGTGGCTCCATTCATGGGTATTACTGACTGCAGGGTCAGGTTGCTGGGATGCTGGGGACCCTTTCTTTGGCTGGATGAGGGGTCACGAGTGGCCTGTCCAGCTGGCCCCTCTGCGTCTTCCCAAGAGCTGCCCCTCCAGCACTGGCAGCCCAGAGACAGGAACCAGCACCCTCCTTGCCCTTCTCAAAGTAGACCACCTGATATGAACGTAAGCACAGACGTGGGATTATGAAGTCTGAGGAAAACACATTACATATTTAAAGTAGAAAGCCCTGGGAATACAAATCTGTGCAGAACCCTATTAGACTGTCTTTTTCCTAGTATGACCTGTCATTGGTCACCCTTTCTCTGAGATAAGGATACGAGGTACATTAACCCAGTCTTAAAAGAAGTCTTTTCTCTTTATCATTTGGCTGCATTTAAAAACTTTGACTCTGTCCTATATTCAGCTATAACATTTGTTATGTATATGCTGTGTGGAGAGACACACACATGTCAATACCATGATACTAAAACTAGCATTCCATTGTGAATAACAGGAAATAATAATAACAACAGAAGACAAACTACAAAAATAGATATTGTGATGAGTACGTGTGTGTGTGCTAAGCTGCTTCAGTCGTGTCTGACTCTGTGCGACCCCGTAGTCTGTAGTCTGCCAACCCCTCTGTCCATGGGATTCTCCAGGCATGAACACTGGAGTAGGTTGCCCTCTCCTTCTCCAGGGCATCTTCCCGACCCAGGGATTGAACCTGGGTCTCATGTTGCCCGCACTAGCAGGAGGTTTCTTTACCACTAGTGCCACCTGGGAAACTTATTGGCAAAAATGAAGTCATTCTGGACCCATCATTGTTCATAATTCCTCTACAAATTCTCTTGGGTCTCTCAGTAGCTTATTAGCAATTCCGTTTTATCATCACTATTTATGTTGTTTGCAGTGTATAGCTACATGAGATGCAGGATTGGTTTTGCTTGGAAACTGTTCTTGTGGTAACAGTAGGTGCTCTGAAAGACACTTGGATTCTGCAAAAAGTTAATCCTTTCGTTTGAAAGTGTAAAGACTCTGCTCTCCCCTGGCGTGTTCCCACATGTGCACCTCTCACTGGCTGGCTCAGTGATTGCCCGTGTCTCCGCTTATTTATCCGGGAGTTTCAGTCTCTTAACGTATTTGTGGATTGGTCCCGAGTAGACACGCACACTGTTTTCTTGTTGAACACGTAGGAGTTTCAGAAATCCCTCGGAGCCAAGCATTCTGTCTACGACACCACCAGTAGGACTGGGCGTTCCCTGAAGGAGAAGACCACCCTGGCTGATGACAACCTGAAGCTGGACGACATGCTGAGTGAGCTCCGGGACAAGTGGGACACCATCTGCGGGAAGTCGGTGGAGAGGTGAGACGCTCCCGACGGCGGCCGCTCGCTGTGCGGGCCCCCCGGCAGATTCCACAGTCCCGGTGCCTTGCGGGGAGGGCTGGGGACCCTGAATACATGCCTCCTGTGCTCACCATGGAGGCTTTGCTGTTCATTCTTGTTTGTCTCTAAGTGCTCACTTCATTCAAAACGACATCGCCCTCTGAGCCTCCCACCACCCCTGCCGTGGGACTGGCCCCCAGGTCTGCCATTGTCCTCTTCACGCCCATCCCCGCGTCCCAGCAGACCTGTGTCCTTAGAGGAGAAGTGGGCTCTTGGGGCCTCCCTGCCCATAGCCTTTAGGGACCAGCTCTCGGGTGTAGACTAGGATACAGGCTCCTCACTGTGCTGAGCAGGGTCCTCCCAGCCTGACCCCACCACCCCTTCCCAGTCTCCTGCCTCTGCCTCCTCCATTTCAGCCATGAAGACCCAAAACTTAAAATAATTTTTAAGTACCTGAGAAAGTAAAACAGCACTAAAGGAGTTTGTGCACGCGTGTGTGCTCAGTCACTTAGTTGTGTCCAACCCTCTGCGACCCCGTGGACTGCAGCCCAGCAGGCTCCTCTGTCCATGGATTCTCCAGGCAACAGTGCTGGCGTGGGCTGCCGTTTCCTCCTCTCGGGGAATCTTCCCAAGCCAGGGATCACTCCTGCGCCTCTTGTGTCTCCTGCATTGGGCAGGCAGATCCACGTTGCTTATGAATGTTTTCAGGTTTCTTGTCCATAGTTAGTCTGATTGCTTTTGTCAGTGTCAAGATTAAACAGTATATTATATATTTCACTCTGAGGAGCTTCATCATGCTTTTTATTGTTAGTTTTTAAAAAATCTTTTAAATCGTCTCCAGTCTCAGAAGGTTACAACTTTGTGCAATGTCCCCTAAATGATTTCACAGCAGTTTATCAGGCAGTCTTGCAGAGACAAAAAGTCCCAGCGATGAACAGACACATGAATGGCAGGTGTTAGCAGTGGGGGCACCGTGACCGCAGAGCCAGCCTGAGGGGCTTTGGGGTGATAGACTGTGTCTTGATTGCGATGATGTTACAGGAATACAGATGTGTTAAAATCCATGGAACTGCAGAATCAAATGTACTACATGACTCTTGAAAACATAGATTTTTTTTCATGGAAAAGGCATATTTTTATGACAAAAGCAAAGGGCCCATGATTTCCAGAGGTGATGATGAGGGACGTTTCCTGGAATAGTTGCCATGTATTTAAGGGATAAAAAAGAAAACTTGAGAGAAATTTTGTTGTTTTCTAGGAAAGCAGAGAAACCACAGTGAATCCTAATATGCTCCTTTTTATCTTGAGGTCTGCCCAGCCTTCACAGATGGATTTTAGATGTTCTGTTCTTAGAGGGTGGCTTTTTTGTTGCCCAGATTGATTTTTTCCCATTTTTCCCGCCAGACAAAACAAATTGGAGGAAGCCCTCTTATTCTCTGGGCAGTTCACAGACGCCCTGCAGGCCCTCATTGACTGGCTCTACAGGGTTGAGCCCCAGCTGGCCGAGGACCAGCCTGTCCATGGAGACATCGATCTGGTGATGAATCTGATCGATAATCACAAGGTATTATTATCTGGGACGTGTTATTTTATCTCGTCTTTCTGATTATTCTGAATATAGAGGGAACTGTAATTACTTCATTGAGCCTTTTAAGATATAGAGACTATGTGTCATGCTGCGTCATAGTCTTTAATATTGAAATATGTATGCCTTTGAGCAGAATCAGGAAGTCTGCTTCAAAAGTCATGCAGGAAAATTGCTTTAGTATCAGTGAAATACTTTGGTTTTACATTTCCACATCTGAAACCTTGCTAGGATTTGGGAAGTGGTTTCATTATCTGCCCTTTAAAGCATATTTTAAGAATGTTTTATTATCTTTCTTTAATGCATATGAATAATTGTGTGATGCAATTTAAAATTACACATGTGGTGACCTGGAACTAGGTCGTTGCTGAAATCCTAGGTTTGTGACATGAGCTGCGTCACGGATCTACGTCTCTTTTCAGCTCTTTTCAGAAACCATGTTAGCCTTGCCCCTGGACCTGTAGCAGTTTCTGAGACAACCACATATGCCATCAGGGATTTGGTTACTACTTTAAGAAAATTGGAGTTGGTTTCCTTGCCATCTCCTGATCTGTATGTTAAACTGTTGTACAAGTCAGAGGTGATATTTGAGACTCTCAGTGATACTGAGTGTGAGGTCTTCAATTATGATCAAATGCTGTTAAAACTTAAAGAATCTTGAAAACAACATGAGGCCTGGTACTGATGTAGGGTTGTTAGGTATATATACAGTTATAACACTTCACTTGCATTCATATATAGTTCTCTATAATTTTGCACTTCAGAAACTTTATTTAATTTTAAATGTTCTCTTTACGCCTTCCTGGTTATGCTATTTTGATCTTATCTGTTAGTTTTAAAATAACTGGTGTTTTGCCTGTTTATTTGCCTTTTTCTCATTCCATGATCACATTATATTCATAGAAGGGAATTTGTTAGGTTTGAAGATGAACAGGAATTAAGAGAATAGAGCATCAATCAGGTCTACAAACATGTTAAAAGCTTTAAATTATGTTGCTTTGCCTATACTGAGACAAATGTTTTGTGGGTGATTAATGCAGTCTTTCCCATCCCCTGGCACTCATTCAGTGAGGAATGAATAATGTAATGTTACTTTGTACATAAATGCCGTTTTTATAAGCTCACTGTCTAAATATTTACTCCCCTAGGCACTTGCCAGGTTTTTTATATACTAAAGGTCAACAAGAATGAATTAATCATTCACATTAGTAATGCAATTGAAAGGCTCAATAAGAAGTTAACGTATGCAGAGAGCATTGGAAGGTCTACTCAGAATCCTTGGACTGCTCCTATCACAAATGGAAGCACCAGACACTGTACCTTGGATGTGTGTGTGTGTGTGTGTTGTGTGTGTGTTGTGTGTATTTACGGGTACACCTCATTTAACACTGTCAGTGTGAAGTCAGCAAAGAACTCATCACATTGTTTTTGGATTATTTTCGACAGGCTCGCTTTTGTGAATGATCCAAGTATCAGACTAGAAACTCATAGATAGGAGTCAAAGGGATAAAATGTGCTTGGTAGTGTTCGTTTGTGATGACTTTTTAGAAAAATAAGTTTATAAAGTTTTTAAGTTTATAAAGGAGTTTATAAAGGAAGTTGGTTATTTTAAAGATCTGGTTGCAGACAGACTCTTAGGGTCAGAAACGGGTTCACTCTGTGGCCAAAGAAGTCATTTTAACCCCTGGAAAATCAGAGTTCACCAAAGCTGGGTAAGGAGCCGAGCTTCTAAAATCTGTCCTTACGGGTTAGTGTCCAGGATTTGTGAAAGATACGACAGAGGATTGTTAGAGGGAAAAAAGGCCGTGTGCCAGGCCCTGCGGGGCTCCCTGCCGTTGTCCTCGAGTCAGCCTCTGAGGCGCGTTTGCTGGTGGAGAGCAGTCTGGTGGCCAGCACATGGGGATGGAGTCCGGAGCAGCGGGAACACCTCACAAAGAATCTCAGACAGTCTGACGCAGTTTGTTTTCTGGAGTTGGTTTTTGGCCTCACCATGTGGCGCACTTTGGGATCTTAGTTCCCCAACCAGGGATCGAACCCTCGCCCCTGCAGTGGAAGCCCAAAGTCTTAGCCACTGGACTGCCAGGGAAGGCCTGAATTTGATGCATTGATGCATGGGATTGAAATAAAGAGGGTGGCCACCAGTATTTAAGTCCAACATATCATTTAAAAAGAAACATTCATTCACTCAGAAAAGCATTTCAAAGTTGATGAAGTTGATGTAAGCCCAGACTTGACAGTGCCCTCACAGCAGTGGTGTGACTTGGCTTATTTTCTGAAGTTCTGCAGAAAACCCGAGTCGTTAAACCGTAGGTGTTGGAGAGCCACACATGATGTTAGGTGCACACGCCTGTTTCATATAGTATGTACTACTCTTTGGGCTTGGCAATCCAAAGTTCATTTTAACAAACTTGGTCCCAGGTCTTCCAGAAGGAGCTGGGGAAGAGGACCAGCAGCGTGCAGGCGCTGAAGCGCTCGGCCCGGGAGCTCATAGAGGGCAGCCAGGACGACTCCTCCTGGGTCAGGGTCCAGGTGCAGGAGCTGAGTACACGCTGGGAGACCGTATGCGCCCTGTCCATCTCCAAGCAGAGCCGCCTCGAGGCTGCCTTGCGCCAGGTAAAGTCTGCGCTCACACCACCAGCGGTACCGACAGGCTCTGCGCTAAGCACCACACAGCCCCCTTGTCTCGGCTGGGATACTCGAGGGAGGAAGTGCTTAGGGCATCCTTCCATACCTTCTCCCACCTACCGTCTCCTCTCCAAAGAATTTCAGTGATTCACAGGGTGAGGTTTCCTAATATTCCCATAAAACTGCTGGTGGAGCCTTTTTTCAGCAAAAATGTTGAGATGGGCTGCCATTCCCCTCAAATGAGATGGTTAAAATGGTGAACTGTTCTTCCTACAGGCATTTCCAGCAGATTTTCTTACATTTGTAAAAAGCAGCACCATGTGTCTTTCTCTTTTTCCTGGGAATCATGGATATAATGAATCAGTTTAAATGTAAGACTTTTTTTTTTTTTCATGGAGAAGAAGACTTGACTCTACTAACGAGTGTATTCGGTAATCTCTTTCGGCCCACGTACACCCTCAGGCAGAGGAATTTCACTCTGTGGTCCACGCTCTCCTGGAGTGGTTGGCGGAAGCCGAGCAGACGCTGCGTTTCCATGGTGTTCTCCCAGATGATGAGGACGCTCTCCGGACTCTCATTGACCAGCATAAAGTGAGTTACATGACTGCTCAGTAAAAAAAATAAGTGAGAAAGCCAACCAAAATAGAGAAAATGAATTCATGATTGCAAATACCAGCTGCGTGAGTATCTTCCTTTCTGAGAAGTAATGCAAGATCTGATACTTTTTTAGAATTTATCTCTACCTTCCTTCCTTACATAGGTATGTCCTCACGCACCTACCCACGTGGATGTGTGGCTGTCTTATTATGCCTTCTTCATAGAAGGTGGATCTTTTAAGACTAGTTACTCAGAGGGGACCCTCCTACACCATGGGTGGAATGTAAGTTGGTACAGCCACTATGGAGAACAGTGTGAAGGTACCTCATAAAACTGAAAACAGAGACACCACATGATCCAGGAACCCTGCTCCTGGGCATATATCCAGATAAAAGTGTAATTCAAAAAGACGCATGCACCCCTATGTTCATAGCAGCACTGTCCACAATAGCCAAGGCATGGAAGCAACCTAAATGTCTGCTGACAAATGAATGTGATGTATAAATATATACATAGTGGAATGTCACTCAGCCATAAAGAAGAAGGAAATAATGCCATTATGCAGGAACATGGATGGACCTAGAAATTATCATACTCAATGAAGTCAGAGAAAGACAAATATCACTTATGTGTGGAATCTAAAATATGACACAAATGAACTTACCTACAAAACAGTCTCATGGACATAGAGAACAGGCTTGTGGTTTCCATGGAAGAGGGGGAGCTGGGGAGGGATGGATTGGACATTTATACAATGGATAAACCACAGAGTCCTGTTGTACAGTACAGGGAAGTATATTCAGCATCCTGGGATAATCCACAATGGAAAAGAATATAGAAATATATGTGTGTACAGCTGAGTCACTTTGCTGCACAGCAGAACTTAACACCACATTGTAAATCAAGTATACTTCACTATAAAAAATAAAAGTAGTCACTCTTATTTTTCTGTCTCCAGGAAGCACATTTTTTCTAGGGGGCTGTTTGGCTCCTGAGCAAAATTTTGTTGCACTTAGATACACATTTCAAAGGTGAAATGTCCTTACTGAGCAGTATAACATTTATAAAATTATGCCATTAGAATTGTAAATTAATAATTTTTACCTTTGTAAGTAAGACAAGTAGTTTAATAACTGGTCTTGGAATTTTATATTTAAGCCTCTGCAAACTCTGTTTTTAATCAAGAGCTACTTTAAATTCTTTTGCAAAGTAACTTATATTGCAAATTATAGATTAAATAGTTTATGTAAGTAGATATACTATTAAATAGTTAACCAAATAAAATTCTGACCAGAGTTTTCAGGTCAAGATTTTTTCCTGTGACAATACATAGGACTCACAAAAGCCTTATGACAGTGGTCCAGAGAGCTCTTCAACAGATTATTGTTTAACCTTTGACTCTAAAAATCAGGAATTTGCAATGCTGATAGTGTTATATTTTTCCCCCTGGGATATAGTGTTCATTAAATGTCTTAAAATTAAGCATCTTGAGGGTTTTTTCTGTTTTTTAATTGAAGTGTAATTGATGTACAGTGTTGTATTAATTTTATATATAAATATGTACATTGTATAATTTACACATACACACACACACACACACATACATGCAGTCTTTTTTATATTCTTTTGCATTATGGGTCATCCCAGGATACTGAATGTAATTCCCTGCACTATATGATAGGAGCTTGCTGTTTTCGTCTCATATATGTAAAAGCTTGCCCCTGCTGACCTCAGCTTCCCGCTCCATCCCTCACCCGGCCCCTTCCCTCTTGGCACCCCCAAGTCTGTTCTGCGTCTGTGAGTTTGTTTCCGTTTCATAAGTAAGTTCATTTGTGTCATAGTTGAGGTTCCAGATGCAAGTGGTATCCTATGGTATTTGTCTTTCTCTGACTTCTCTTAGTATGATCCTCTTTGGGTCCATCTGTGTCACTTCAGAGGGCATGATTTCATTCTTTCTCTGGCTGAGTGATGTGGTCTTGAATATCTGCTTTATCCATCCATCTGTCGATGGACATCTAGGCAGTTTCTTTGTCTCGGTTATTGTGAATAGTGCTGCTGTGAACACAGGGGTTCATGTATCTTTTGAATTAGAGTTTTGTCTGGATATACTCCCAGGAGTACGATTGCTGGATCATATGGTGATTCTGTTTTTAGTTTCTGAAGAACTTCCATACTGTTCACCATAGTGGCTACCAACTTACATTCCCCCCAAGAGTGTGGGAAGGTTCCCTTTCCCCACACCCTATCTAGCATTTGTCATTTGTAGACTTTTTGATAATGGCCATTCTAACAGTGTGAGGTGGTTCCTCGTCGTAGTTTTAATTTGCCTTTCTCTCATAATTAGTGATGTTTGAACATCTTTTCATGTGCCTGTTGCCTGTTTCAACGTAATGATAGTATTAATGTCAGCATTTCCTGTAAATTGTAAAGGACCTTTTTAATAACCACTGAGTAACCTTGTGTTTGTTGGAAACACATCATTAATTCCAGTGTAGAATAGATGAGATCATGTATGGTGACTTCTTATTTTAGTCACTATACTCACTCTCTCAGTGATGGTTTGCCTACCCTATTGCAATGACATATTGCCTTGTTATTCATACAAGGGATGTGAGCTTGTGTAACCTTATCTGGAGGAAAGAAATGCTGCATGCACTTTTTCAAGTTGAAGCTAGACTGTATAAGTAGGAAAATGACATCACGTTTGCTATCCTTTTTTGACTCAGTTCAGTATTTTGAAAATCTGCTTTGTGTTACTGTGTGCTGACCGTCAGCTGCGCTGGGCTCCGCTGACGTGCTGGGGTGTGGGTGTCAGAGTGTCTCCTGAAGCCCCGAGTGCATATCTGCCCTGCAGAACGACGCTCGTGTGGTGTCACCACCATCAGAGCGGGCCGGGAATCCCTCAGAAACACGGGAGGCAGGCAGCCGGGCTGGGGTGGTGGTTTTAACAGCAGATTCCTTTTAAATATTTTAAAATTAGCATACAGTTACATGCAGTGTTATAAATGTAATAATATTTTACAGTAATACTGTTCTTTCTTTTCCATTTCCTTTGTTTCCCTTCACACATTCACCAATAGAAGGCAAACAGAATACTTAATTTTTTAGACTGGAGCCCTCTCCGTAGAATCCAGTTTCTAAATTGGCAAGGTTTCCCACGAGGCATCGAAGCAGCGCTCAAATGGACCTGGAGGCGCTCAGGACGCTGTGTTGGCTGGCTTGCTCCTGGTCCACACTCTTCCATGGGGCCCGGTTTGCAGTGTGGGAGTGGTTAAACATGCATGATTGGGTCAGCTCCCCTCTGGAAAGGCACAGCTGCTTTTAACCTCTGGTTTTCTCTCTTCCTCGTAAAGTTTGTTTTCTTTCACCTTTAAGTGAAAATAAAAATATTTTTAAAGTAGGTCCTGATATTTGAAAAGTGGGTCATTAAAGTCTGTGAGTCTTGTTTCTGTTTTGTAAATAAGTTCATTTGTTTATGGTTACCAAGGGAAAGGGTGGGTGGAAGGATACATTAGGAGTCTCAGGTTAGCATGTGCACACTCCTGTATATAAAGGAGGTGTTCAACAAGGACCCCCAGTCCAGGGAACTCCGCTCAGTACTCTGTAGCAACTTTTATGGGAAAAAAAATGTGAAGAAGAATGGATACATGTATATATAGAGCTGAATCATTTTGCTGTGCATCTGAATCTAGCACAGCATTGTGAGTCAACTGTACCCCAGTATAAACTAAAAGTTACAGTAGATCATGTTAGCGGAATGACTGAGCCCGGACTCCCCCAGCATCTATTCAGCCACAGAGACACAGAATTGAATAAGACACTCTTGATCTTGTGCACCTTAACATCTAGTAGCTGTGCATGTAAATGGATTGTTTTATCAGAGCAAACTGCCAGCGTAGGAGGCATCAGACAGCCACTCTGGAGGTTATGAAGGAAAGGTCACTAGACATGCACCCCTGCAATTTGAGATGACCCCCTGGTCACCAGGTGTGGGTCACACTGGTGCTGTCCACCCCCTCCCACTCTTGTCAGGGCAGTTGTTCTTGGTGTGGGGTCCAGATAGATAAGAGGTGGTCAGTGGGTGTTTGAAATTTGGTGCAGGATTCGGGAGGCATGTCACATATTTTAGGGCCAAGATTCTCATCCTTCAGCCCCACTTTCAGAGTTCTGTGACCCATGAATCTACAGGTACAGTTCTGGTGGCCGAAAGTAAAGTATGTGAGATACTTGTAAGCAGGTTGGTTTGACAGCCTCCAGACCTGTTGAGGCTTGTGTGTCCTGCCGAAGCTGAGGATGGCTCTCTTTACCGGCCTTTGAGGCCGGCCCTGTCAGACCACTTGCTTCAGCCCTACGGGCCTGCTTCCCGCCTGGGTGTGGAGCTTCTCTCCTGCAGCCCAGGCCTTCCCGGTTCCCGGGCAGCCCGCTCTCTTCCTTGGCACTTTTTGGATACGCATTCCTGTCATTCCTGGCGCAGTGAATGCTGCTTTAAACACTAACCTCCTTGTCTTATTTGCTAGAACATTATTTATTTTTTTCAATTCACATTGTTTCTGTCTCTGGTTTAGGCCCTGTCCCAATTCCCCTCTCTGTTAATATAATAATTATAATATATTCAAATTTAGGAGGTTTTTTTTTTTTGTATAATGTATTTGTAAAGCACAAGACAGTATCCTGCACTTAGATTTTGCGAGTGGGTTAGAAGATGCTTTTTCCGATTTCTTTTCCTTCCCTCTCTCAGTTCCTCATTGGTGAATGATTTCCAGCTGTGAATAAATCAGTTTAAGTTCTTGCTTGCTGGTTTAGCTCTGAGAGTCCAGTGGGCGCTGCCCAAGTTTTGGTTTCAGCCTGCGTGCCTTTGTTTCTGCTGCAGGAGTTCATGAAGAGACTGGAGGAGAAGCGCGCCGCCCTCAACAAGGCCACCAGCATGGGGGACGCCATCCTGGCCATCTGCCACCCCGACTCCATCACCACCATCAAGCACTGGATAACCATCATCCGGGCCAGATTCGAGGAGGTGAGTGCATAGGGCAGCGGGAGCTGAGGGAGTCAGGGTGAGGGGCTGTGCACACTTGGGCAATTGATTATGCCTTTTAAGGCTGGGGGAACCTGGAGGCTTGCATTCTTTGTGAGACCATTCCTCTGGGTATTACCTATCTCTGCCACCCACTTTTCTTGAAGAAGTTACAGGTGTTCTGTAGCTGTGTCCCTTAAACATGAAAAGGCAAATACTTGGTTCTCTGTAGAACTTTCTGTCCAATTCCACATCATATCTGCTGAATAGGTTTTTCAGAGCCATCTATGCTTATAGAAAGAATTGCACACACAAGTGAATTCATTTTGTATTTAAGATCTTAGCTATTTTTATTTCCACCCTGCACTCTGTGGAGTTGGCATGCATGATCCTTCGGGGGATGCCAGTTTGAACTTAAATTCGAAGGCAAAGGGACGCCTGGGTGACTGATGGCCTTCTTCCCTTCTGAGGGTGACCAGTGTTGTAAAGGGTTCCTGTATCCTCCACTAGCTGGGTCTCGGGACCACTGATGGAATCTTGAAAAACTGGAAGAGTTATGGGTCTAGCCGAGGGTGATCCTGATACACGTTTAAATTTTGTGTACTTAACACCCGTGAAATCATGCCCTAAGATGGATGGGAGTGGGAGCAAGGTCTGTTTGTCCATCAGGTGCTGGCCTGGGCGAAGCAGCACCAGCAGAGATTGGCCGGCGCCCTGGCCGGGCTCATCGCAAAGCAGGAGCTGCTGGAAGCCCTGCTGGCCTGGCTGCAGTGGGCCGAAACCACACTGAGCGACAGGGACAAGGAGGTCATCCCCCAGGAGATCGAAGAGGTGAAAGCCCTCATCGCGGAGCACCAGGTAACAGACGTCACCCCAGCCCGCCTTCTCGGGCCTTCTCAGGAGAAGGCCGTGTGCTCATGTTCACTTCCTCAGCCTCTCCCCACTGTGTCTGACTCCACCCTGGCCCTGGAGCTTCTCTCGCTTTGCTGGGGTCTCCTGCCCTTTTCGGATGCTCTTTCCTCTTGGCCCCATCAGGGCGTCCCCGTCGGATGGGCTCTCCCCCCGGCCACCCCCTGCTCCCTTGGCGGGCGGCTGTCCCTGCATTTTGTCCCCAGATCCGCCCCTCCCCTCCTGCACCCCCATAGCCACCTCACCTCTCTTGTTCACTGGTCCATGTTTGCATCTTCTACTGTCTGCTCTCAGCAGCTCACAAGAAGCCCGCCAGTCCTTCAGACATATCTCATCTCAGTGGGAACATATGGTCTCACTCAAAAAAGTGTCAGGTTCGGAAGTGATGGGCATCACGCTGACCTGCTGTTTGCTCATTCATTTCTTTAATGTGCATTTATGGAGATCACTGAGTGTCAGATTATTTCGCTAAACCATTAACAGTGTGATCGTATTTTAATAGAGGTATAAGATTTCAGTGCTTGTGCGGCCCTGAAGCATCTCTGGCATCTGCAGTGTTAAAGTGATCAGTGTTCTCCAGGGTGATGAACATTCTGCAAACGTGCTTCTTCACTTTTCTCACTTTTGTCTGCTTCCTCCTTTTCCCATCATTTTTACCAGTCTCTGCCTTTGCTGCCGATTTCGCATACAGGGATGCATGATCAATCATGATCATAAGCCCAAGAAGATGAGACAAACGGCAAGAGAGCCAAACCTTTTAAGTATAAACTTGAGCCCGGAGGGCCCTCACTGGTAGAGCCCATTTATTGATAGGGATATTTGAGATGTTTCCACATTTAATGTGAATGCTTTCTGTCACTGTATATCAAAGACATCTTAAACATTTTGGATATGAGACGTGTCCCTAGATAGCCCCGCTGACTCACTGCCGAGCACACAGGTACTCACTTTGAGACTCTTCACGGGGAGCGGGACGCTTGGTCCCGGCCGGTCACAGACAGGGTGTGTTCGTCATCCGCTGCTCCCGGGGTGGTCTTCAAGCGAGAACAAATGGCTTTTGAAACACTGTCCTTACTAACCTGTAACACTTCGTAGTCTTTAGAAGTAAGTAAATGCTGTATTTAAGGTGGTTAGATTTTTTTTCCCCCTTGGGTAAAACATGCTATTTTTTTCTTTTTTCAGAAATCGTAGTGTGGTCCTTTTATTCTCTTTTTAGTTCATTTCTCAAGGTAGCGCTCACTGACAGGCTTGTATTTGGTTGGTGTTACTGCTTTCTTTCAGACCTTCATGGAGGAGATGACCAGGAAGCAGCCCGACGTGGACAGAGTCACCAAGACCTACAAGCGGAGGGCGGCAGACCTCTCCTCCTTGCAGTCCCACATCCCAGTCCTGGACAAGGGGCGCGCAGGACGTAAGCGGGGCCGTTTCTTTAAAACAAGGATGCCGATACACGAAAGTTAGCTTCCTTTTATTTTGAGTTACGGTTTGACATTTTGGAGGCATAGGTGATTCTACACGAGCTCTCAGTAACAAAAGGTTTTCTTGAAAGAAAGCATGGGCTAAGTATTACAGCACCTTATTTAAAAATAAAGATAAAGGTAAATCCAGGTCTCTGTATGTAACCTTATTTGCTTGAAATGTATCTTTAAGATTAGCCAGAAGAAATTAGAAAGATTTGCAACAAGAACAGAAATCATCAACCCCTTTGAAATGACTCATTCTGCTTCTAGTATGTAAATAACCCTCAAGTGGAGTGGAATAGGAATAGGAATGACCGTGACCTAACTGTTCACTAGTAACCAGTAATCTGATTGATTTTGCTCACGGTCATATGACTTCAGGCTCTATTTACTGGCTTCCCAGCCTGTCTTGACCCAAAAAAATGACATTAAATTCAATAATAGCTTGGATAAGATTTAGAAGAAGCACAATTTATACCAATTTGTGATTTTCTGAACAGTGTCTTAGTAAAACAAAAAGAAAAAATGGTTTGGGGTCTGCCATGGTAAGAAAGTGGTTATGGACTCCGCATGCGGAGTACTCGGTTGTCCTGTGGCCCCCCCACCCCACCAGCTGGATCATGCAACCTTGGACCTGTTACCTAAACCCTTTCTGAACCTCACTTTTCTCATCTGTAAAAGCGGAGAATTGTAACCTCCTTGGACTGTGGTGAGGATTTAGTTTAACTACTATGTGTGAAGTGTTCAGTGTACTTCCTTTCCTGGACTGTTGTTAAATGCTCAGTAAATATTAGCTGTTGCTATCTCTGTACAGCCCCGTGGGGGTTAGGAAATCTAGCCAAATCTCAGCCTGGACACTACCTTCCTATGTACAAGCCGAGGCCAGTGATGTGTTTTTCCAGCTCACGCTGAGCCATTTAGTTAGATGAGGAAGCTGTGACATTATGGAAGCCTGTAAATGATAGAAAGAGGGAGGAAGCTTGAGGAGGGCGGTAAGTTGGGACGTGAGACAGCGTTCAGGAGGCTGTCTCTGCAGGAATGGGGCCTGGAGGAATCGGGCTGTCTCACACCTGGTGGTGGCCGGTTTGGGGTCTGCGGGGGTCTCACTCGGACTGCGGTGCCCCGGTACCGCCTGCCCGCACCTGCCGTCCTCGTAGGCTCAGCCACTTAGTCACAGCGAGGTTTCTGGAGCTGAGTTCACAGATAGCAGTGCCCTGAGGAGGTGGCCAAGAGGAAGAAGGCAGGGTGCTTCTTTGTCCCTCAAGTGGCCCAGAATTCAGGTTGAAAAGTGTTTGAAGCTTCAGTGTATTGAGAGAGCGTTCTAGTACCTCAGGGCTCCTGTCAAGATATGTTAAAATGCCTCTGTCTCTGAACAGTATGTGATCCCTGTTAAGTAAAACGCATTTGGACCCTGATTCTGCACTTCACCTCCATCAGAGTTTCTACTCATCACAGTCAGTAGTGAAGTTGGTTCACTCTGAATGAGGAGCAGGAAAGGTCAGACCTTAACGCCTTCCAAACCCCTGGAGACTTCGCCATCCTAATCAAGTTGTGTTTTAACAGGTAAACGCCTCCCAGCCCCAAGCTTCTATCCCTCTGGATCACAGACGCAAATTGAAACCAAAAATCCCAGGGTCAACTTACTGGTGAGCAAGTGGCAGCAAGTCTGGCTTCTTGCCTTAGAAAGGAGGAGGAAGCTTAACGACGCCTTGGACAGGCTGGAGGAGGTGAGGAGACTCGTGTTCGCCACCACAGTGTCATTTGCCCTCATTCACCAGAACACATTGCCAAAATCTTGATTTTTTTTCAACATTTCTGGTAATAGATAAATTGTTCATGTCAGAGTGCATATTTTATTAATATTTCTAAAATTAATGCCGCAAGTATGAATGTTTTTATGGAGAACAGACCCCTGATAGATGGGCTTTTGATTTAAGGGATCAAAGTAAAAAACAGATACATTGTAACATAATAAGAAGGTGCCGTCTTAGGTTTGATACGTTTGCAGGTGGCATCACCTAGCAACTGTAATCATTTATAATGCAGATCTTTTAATTATACATACTCTGATCTGAGGCTCTTAGAGTTTCCGATTCTGGAGTTGGTGAATGTTTAAAAGGTAGGAGTTGAGAGCGTCTGGCAGTGGAGAGCTCAAGGGGTTAAATGGGTCGTGCTGAGCTGGGCCTGCTCCACAGGGGCACAGAGCTATGTCCTCATGGGTCACAGCACCTTTGTGACTTTGCTGTTACCAAAAAATTTTCATTTGACATTTTGAGTTTTGTTCCTTCTATTAAGTAAAGAACAGAACAGTGGCAGTAATGAAATAAACTTTACAGGATAAGCATTGAGGCCCCCTTTACAAGATGATGTCTCTCTTGGAAAGAACACTGTGTGTGTGTTGTCTAGATGATCATCAAAAATAGGGTTAATTATGTTGTATCAGATAAAATTCTTGTTATCTAGAGCAGCAGTCCCCAACCTTTTTGGCACCAGGGATCAATTTCGTGGAAGAGAGTTTTTCCACAGACCGGGGTGGGAATTGGTTTCAGAATGATTCAAGCACGTTAACATTTATTGTGCACTTGATTTCTATTACTATTGCATAAGTTCCACCTTAGCTCATCAAACAGTAGATCCCAGAGACTGGGGACCCTTGAATCTAGAGGATCATTAAAAATAATGGTAATTCATATTCTGTAAGATACAATTTTTTTTCTAGAGGACCATTAAAAATAATGTTCATATCATATAAAATTTTTGTTGTCTAGAGGATCGTTAAGAATCACACTCATGTTGTGTAAGATGTAATTTGAGCACAGTCGTCACTCAGCAAAATGCCTATTGCCCTTTTCAGCTTAGAGAATTTGCCAACTTTGACTTTGATGTCTGGCGCAAAAAGTACATGCGCTGGATGAACCACAAGAAATCTCGAGTGATGGACTTTTTCAGGCGGATCGATAAAGATCAGGATGGGAAAATAACCCGACAAGAGTTTATTGACGGAATCCTTTCCTCAAGTAAGTCCCAAGTGAGGTGGCCAGGATAAATGTAGTTTTTTAAGAAAATGAGCACAATTTAAGTTTTGGAGCCAGGAATCTTGTGTTACTAATAAAGCATCACCTTTAAATTTGGCTTTGAAATCATTGCCCTCAAAAAAACAAACAAAAAAAAACCTGTTCTTGATTAAAATGTATGGCTTTGGAGGCAGGCGCACTTACTAATTGTGTCAACCACAGATAATCTGGCAGTGGGTAATCAGGTTAATAATTCTTAACTCTTAGACTGTGTTGCCTGGCATAAAATGGGCAGTCAGTAAATGCAAGGCAGTCCCTCTTTTTTGTTGTTCACATTCTAATCTAATATTGTCATTAGTAGGAAATTACAAGGCTATAAAAATTCTTAAAAGTACGTGCCCTCTTCGTTGATAGATTAGTTTGATCCTGTGTTTGTGATTTCTCTGGCAGAGGTTACCAGAAACCATTCTCAAAGTAAATTTCATGTAAATTATTCCATAAGTGGTACTTGAACCATATGAAATTTGCTAATCTTAAATAGTTTTTAGCTTAGAAAAATAGCCACTAAATAAGATTCAAATAGTAAATAAGGGTAAATTTAGGCCACATGTATAGTGGTTGTGTTTATGTTATATAAGTTTTTTTTCTTTTTAAAGATTTTATTATATTTGATCATTCTAATCATTTAACTGGCCACACTGGAATTCAGACGTACAACCAAGAATGTCTCGAGGCAGAATTAACAAGTTAATGCTACTTAATTTTTTTTAAGACTTAAATCTTTGGGGGGACTTCCCTGGGGGTTCATTGGTTAAAACTCTGCACTTCCACTTCAGGGGTCGTGGATTCAGTTCCTTGGTGAGGCAACTAAGATCCTCCAAATGAGCCACACAAGGAGGCAAAAACAAAAACAAAAAACCCACACAAATCTTTTTGGTAAAATTTTATTATAAGTGGCAGGTCTTATCAATGTTCATTTGGAGTAGAGTATACTGAGAATATCCTAATTATTACTTGTATGTGGAATCTAAACAAAAAATCAGACTCACAGAAATGGCAGGAAAGTGGCTGGGAGGTGGGAGAGAGGCTGGCATGAGGGTACAAATTTCCAGATATAAAATTAATAAGACCTGAAGATCTAATGTATGACTATGGTTATATATATATATATAATATATGTTTGGTTATATATGTATAACATTCTTATATACATATATATAACACACACACATACACATATATTTATGTAACATGGTGACTATGATTGAAAACATGTACAGATTGGAATTTGCTGAAAGAGTAAAATTTACTCTTAACCAAAAAAAATGTGCAAAAGATAAATATGTTAGGTGATGGATGTGTTAACTAGATGAGAGGAATCCCTCCACAGTGTACATATATCACATTATTATGGTTTCATCTTAAATACCTTGCAGTTTCATTTGTCAGTGATCCCTCAATAATGCTACTTACTATTGTTTTGAAACTGTTAAGAGTTCCCTACCAGCCGCCTGGAGATGAGTGCGGTTGCAGACATCTTCGACAGAGATGGAGACGGGTACATCGACTACTATGAATTTGTGGCTGCCCTTCACCCAAATAAGGATGCATACAAACCCGTCACTGATGCTGACAAAATCGAAGATGAGGTACTGCTTGCCTTTGTACTGCATGCAGCAGTCACCTCGTGTCCCGCCCAGATACCCTGCACAATTGATGCTGCTGCTTTATTTCCACATTTCGTTGTTGTATAACGGTTTTAAGGGTGCCACAATGTGATATTAACCTTAGAGTGACTATTTTATCATTGCTTCTGGCAGGTGACAAGGCAGGTAGCTAAGTGCAAATGTGCGAAACGATTCCAGGTTGAGCAGATTGGAGACAACAAATACAGGGTGAGTTTCCAAAACAGCCGCGAGGTCCACTTAAAGGACGAGTGGAATGTGATCTGTATTGCTTCCCAGGAGTGCTAATGATTTATTTTTACCATCTGTCAAAGGGGACTGGTATGTGAAATTCCAGCTTTTGTAACTTTAAATGATACAAAGATAGCTTGTTGTATATTAGGACATATCTTTGACATGTACAAGATGTCCATTCAAGGAGAAAAATATTCACAGGAAAACACATCTTGTATATTTAGGTTGCTTCATATTACTTCATAATCTATTTTATTATGATCAGAGGTAAGTTGTCATACTTTCAGTAACAAAACTATTCCAAGCCAGGAAGCGAGCGAAGTTAAAATCTTGACTTGTTTTTATAAATGTGAGAAAGAGGCAGTGTCGTCCTCTGATGCAGACATTTTTTAAAAATTTTAATCTTAATAACTCAGTTCACCTTCTTTCAAAACAATTACTTGAAAGCACTTGTGACTTAGTCACACTTTCTCTATCATTTTTTTTCCCTTTTTTTGGAACATCTCTTATTTGTAGTAGCTAGATAGGAAATGTGCTGGGTTTCCCTCCTATAGTCTGTTACTTAGAAATGAAACAGTATTCATTTTGTTTTTGTATCTCCACACTGAAAAATATTCATCTATTGGGCTGGCCAAAAAGTTTGTTCATGTTTTTCCATACGATGGCACGGGAAAACCCAAATGAACTTTTTAGCCAACCCAGTAGACGTTTGAATTCTTACCTTAAGTTTGAAACCCAAAGACTTTCCAAAAAACTTGCATAGAAGATTTTCTGATTATTTGGTTTGAAGTTGGGAAAAATGGGTACCTGCACATCTCTAAACTAGATACTATATCCAGAATCCCAAAGTGTGAGAGAGAGAGTGAGAGGGTGTGTGTGTTTTCTGGAGTCATATGAAAAGTTTCCTATTGAACTAATTGTGTCTTTCTTCCATTTTTCATTTTTTTTTTATCAGTTCTTCCTGGGAAATCAGGTATAAACCAGTGGAATGTATTCTCAAGTTCCGAATGGTTTTTTTTTTTAACTTTAATTCATAGTCATTAAAGCTTGCCCTGGCCAATCTTCCCCTGCTGTCCTCCTAGCTACTACATTGTTGGTTGGCGTGGTGTTTCTGTCAACGCTGTGAGGGTCCTTGATCCAGGACTCCTTTTTGCTTTGTGTCTCTGAGGAGATTACCTTCAAGCAAACCAGATAATCAGTTGTGGTTTGGCTAGGCACAGTGTGGCAAGTGCATTTTCAGTCCTGTCTTTGGTGATCCTGCTCCCACCTGCCATATGCAGCTGCTCCTCGCAGCACAGACTTGACTGTTCAGTCTCCGGGCGGGCTTGCTGGTGCTGGGCCGTGAGGAGGAGGTGGCTCTGAGTAGGGCAGTGGGAATGGGGCCAGCCTCTGGCAGTGACCCGGGAGGACAGCTCAGTGCGGTCAGCATGGCACTCGGCCTCGGGGATGGTTTTCTCCAGAGCCGCCGTCATCCATGTGCCCTGGTTCGTCGAGTTAGGGCTTTGCATCCTGAGTAGAAAGTCGTTCTGCTGGTCTTAAATGATACGAATCCCTGTGAGGAACTGTCTCTCTTGTGACTTGCACGAAATCCTAGATGTACTTTAGGCCATTTTGACCTCAGAGTTAAGTCAGAATAGACTGACCAAGATCAGAATTTTAGAACTAAAGACAAGAGAAATCATATTTTGATTTAAACAAGGAGAGTTTTTTTTTTTAACTCTGTGCTTTTAAAAAACAATTGTGCTATTTGTAATACCTGACCATTTGTGTGTGCTGTTGCTTCAGTAGTGTCTGACTCTATGCCACCTCGTAGACAACAGCCCACCAGGCTCCTCTGTCCATGGGAGTCTCCCGGCAAGAATACGGGAGTGGATTGGCATCCCCTCCTCCAGAATATCTGACCACATCTATAGATATTACTCTGCTCCTCAGTTTCTAAGTTGGATTAAATCTTAAGTTTCATATTACCAAGTATCATTTACTGCAAGGAAATTATTTTTTCAAATAAAATTTTTAAGTCATTTTGAATAGATATTTTGAAACCTTCCACTAGTTTGCGTAAGAAGTTACTTTCCCTTTCTTGTTATTTTCTAAGTTAGTAATTGTGACAGCATCTTTTACTTTTGGAAAGGATGAAATGACCCAAAAGGTTTAAGTCACTGAAAACACAAACAGCAACAACATTATGTATTTTTTCTTTCAATTTAGCTGTTGAAAAAATCAGGGAAATTCTAAAGACAGTGGTATCTGTCAGAGAATGCCATCTCAAAATTTAAACTCATTCATATTTATTATGATGGAAGTAAATTGAAATACCATCTCTATAAAATAAGTATTTTACATTATTTATGTGTGATATAAATATTTATCTATATCCTTAAAGCTTGTTTTCAGCGTAATCGTGGACCAAAAGTGCACGGTCTGATTATCTGGTTCCTTAAGGGTAATTTTCTTTGAATCCCCTCCTTCCCTTGCTTATTAGCAGCACCGAATTTTTTTCTAACAAATTAAGTATGTATTTTGATTTTTAAATTTTAATTTACAATTCACGAGCAGGTTCAGTTACAGGAGAGTTGAAATCTCAAGGCTTAAAAACCATTTTAGAAAAAACGATGTAACAAGGTTTGCTGTGACTGTCTTGAGTCCCACTGGTACATTTTACATGCTTTCTGGCTCCTTCTGAGTTTCAGGGTCTGGGATGGTTGGCTTTGTTCTAGTGTTCCCTTCCTGAAACTCAGCGTTAAGATTTATGAAAAGCAACAAATTGTTGCTGCTTCACGTTTTCCTATTTATCTTTCACGAGCCCAGACAGATAGTCACAATTGTATGTTCCCTGCCTTAAAAAGAAGCTCTTTATGTCAACTTGACTGTTGATTTTGCTATGGTATCTGCCAGTTTGGCAACCCTGAAATTCAGTCTGGTGGTTTTTGTAAGTTGATCATGAGCTTATTAGAAATGATTTAAGGGTAGAAAATCATTTCTCATGGGCTTTCATGGTAAATACACTTTATGATCAGAAACTGCCTGCAGTCTAGATGTGTATTCAAGAGTTGAAGAATTTGTAGCTTATCTGAGTGATCGAAGATCCACTGAGAGAGCAGGAAAAGCGTGATTCTCAGTGTCAGCAACTTTGATGCATACAGCTTTAAAGAAAGCCTTTTAGATTTGAAAGCTGTATCATTTCTTATGTGTCAGTGTCTGTCCAAATATAACAGTAATCTAAAATGGCATGTTAATCCAGCCTTTACAAGTTAGTCTACCAGATAATTAGTGATGCAGAAATTTTATTTAACTGTGAAATTTTCATTAGTCATGATCGTTTACTGTCTCTTTCTCTAAGTCAGAACTGTTTAGAGAAAGCAGATGAATTTATGAAGATTTCTACCACAGATTTCCAACAGCTTTAGGTATAAGAGGAAGTTTTCATGAAGAATCAGAGTTTGTTAAATTTTCTTTAGGATCATGTTGCCTCCTGGAAGCAACAGGAGACGGATCAGTGCTTATTTTCATGACTGTGTTTAATCTCTAGAAACATTTTTCAATTACTTCCTTACTAATGTTGTTTCTGTCATAAGAGAGAAAAATCATTTTTAGAAGAAAGCTTCAGGATTACACGTGATAACCTTCGTCATCTTTTTTCACACTGTTTCCTCTGGGCTAAAGCAGCATGCAGCCGTCTAACGCAGATCATGACAAACCCCTCTCTCTGAGATTTTACTAATCGCTGCGAACTAAGCAGGAAGTTAGAGTTGGTTGCTTATAGCAGATCGCACTTCATGCCGTGGTTGAGATTTACCCTGGACATTCGAGGGTCTTCTCTCTTCCTCCCCCAGTTTGGAGACTCGCAGCAGCTCCGGCTCGTCCGCATCCTGCGTAGCACCGTGATGGTTCGCGTTGGAGGTGGATGGATGGCACTCGACGAGTTCCTGGTGAAGAACGACCCTTGCCGGGGTAAGGAGGCGCTTACCGTCAGGGTAGTAACCCTCTGCAAGTATGTCCATCTTGTGTTATTTTCCAGCATCAGAACCATACTGGGGTGTACACCCGAAACTATCATAATATTGTTAATCAACTCCAATATATAAAGTAAAACGCTTTTTAAAAGTTAGCTAAAAATAACTTACTGAGGCTTATTTTGGTCATATATTATTGGGTTGGCTAAAAAGTTCGCTTGGGTTTGCCCATAAGACATTACGGAAAAATCCAAACGAACTTCTTAGCCAGCCCAATACGACAGTGAATGTTCACATTGGTCTGTCAGCCTGAAGTTCCCAAAGAACTTGGGGCAGTCATGTAAACTGTGTTCCTCTCTCTCTCCCCCACCCCCCCACTTCTCCTGGATAACTAGGAGACTGGGAGATGGCAAACACTAGAATGTATTTTTCTGTATGAGACACCCCCCCATCTGCAGTTTTCAAAATGAGCAATTCTGCCAGCCAAGGACAGGATTTCCTCTGTCATTGAAAAGCAAAGTAAGAGGAGAGAAAATCGAGTGATGAAGATTGAAGATACTGTACAGGAGAAGTTTGAAAGCCAAAAGTTTTTCTGAAATTAGGGAGAGGTGAGGAAGGCAGTATTGAAAAACTTTTAAAGTAAGCTCCTGATGTGACTCTGAATTTTGAAATTCTGAATCAGCGCCCTAAGAACATGCACACACGCTGCACGGTAGTTCTCGGGTTCAGGCAGCCAGTTCGCCGGCCTCCCGGCTAGGCCACCGCGGGTGATTACGCCTAAAGGAGTGAAGTAAAAGCAAAGGCACCCTTTTGTTTTGTATTTTGGAAGCAGTGCAGCCTAAGGTAGTACAGCTCCATTTATGAAACAAGGGAGAAGGCAGAGTACTCTGTGTGGTTGCCTGAGAAAGGCAAAGCCCGGGGCAGAGTCTTCCAGGTGCGTTTTTCCTCCCGAGTCAGCCTGTGCCTGCTTCTCTTCTTCTAAACCATGCACTAAAGGCCCGACCTGAGCGACCTTGGCGTAGTCAACCACTGTGCTGTTTCTTCTTCTGCTAACAGTTCTCTTGAATGTGATTGGTATCCTGTGTCATTTCTTCTAGTTCATCATCATGGGAGTAAAATGTTACGCTCGGAATCAAACTCTTCAATCACTACTACTCAGCCTACTATAGGTTGGCGACCCCTCTCTTTGCCTCTCCCCTCTGACCTCTCCTCTTTCCTCCTTGACATTCTTGCTTTCGTCGTTTGTTTTCAAATAACGCGCTTCATCAGTCACGTATGGCTTAACTCACATCCAACTGAGCTGGTGCTTCCAAATTGAAACTCTCGACATTGGACGCCATTCCAGTGTTGCAGACGCAGGGGTTGTGTCCGCGATCACACAGGCCAATGCCCTGCACGCGAGGTTCTGGCGGCACCTCTTGCGCATGCACATGTGTTGGTCTGAGTGTTGAATCACGGATGACCTCCCAGATCCTGCAGTCTGGCGTTTGTTATTTTGCATGTTGTAAAACCAGGTTTTTAAGGCATAAAATAAAAATACCAGCCGCCTTCTTGAAAGTCAGAAACCCGAAAGTTTATGTGTTGTCATCATGATTAATAACCCATCTCTCATTCTGTATAACTGTTCAATTAATCCTGATGGTGCAATATTGGTCTCAATCTCCTGACCTCAGTAGTGCCTACAAAAGCCACAGTCCCTGCCTCCCTGGTCCCCTTGGGGTGGGGATGGCATAGGGAAACACTGCAGGCATCAGTAGCGGGTGGATTAACAGTATTTGAGCATGAGCTTGTCATTTTCATGCTGACTCTCTCTTTAATAGTGGTTCCTCTTGCTGGTGTCTAGTGTTAGAATAAATACACTTTTATTTTTTTCTTCCCCCAACTTACTTGTATCCAAAAGGAATGCATTGTAAAGGAATGCATTTGACTTTTTGTGATGCTGAGTTGGAGTTGGCATGGCAAAAAGGTGTTCTTGCAATCCTCCACGTGGTCTGTGGTGCCGGTGGCGATCTTCCCCTCACATGACTGAACCCCTCTTTTTTTTCTCCCCTTCCTCTCCTGTGTGTGCACCTTGTCACGTGTTCCACCATCCAGCTAAAGGAAGGACGAACATGGAATTGCGGGAGAAGTTCATCCTGGCAGATGGAGCCACTCAGGGCATGGCTGCCTTCCGGCCGCGGGGCCGGAGGTCCAGACCCTCGTCCCGGGCTGCCTCACCCAACCGGTCCACGTCCGTGTCCAGCCAGGCCGGCCAGGCCGCCTCCCCGCAAGTCCCCGCCAGCAGCACACCCAAGGTAGGACGCGTTTTCTCCTCCTCCGCACTCCCCGTCCAGAGCAGCAGTCCCCGCCTCTGGAATCTAATGTCCGATGTTCTGTGGTGAAGCTGCTGTAATAACAAATAGGAATAAAGTACGCAGTTCATGCCATGCTCTTGAATCATCCCCAAACCAGCCCCTGGTGCCAGACTGCTGGTTGGGGAGTGCTGTGCTAGAGTATGCTTTTCAATGTTTGGGGTTCCTAGAATTTGCAGGACCAGCTTTCTCCAGATGTGTCCCTTATCACAATATGGAAGATGCAGGATTAAATATATATGTGTGTGTGTGTGTGTGTGTGTATATATATATATATATTTTTGTATGCCTTTGAGACATACAGAGACAATATAGAGACAATCTGTTCGGAGACTTTGATACCTTTTAGATTGGTTTTTCTTTTTAAAGCTTCATTCATGTTTTTGGTGTGTATAATTTGCCATCGGACCTTTCCATTTGTTTTTAATGGTGATCATTCTTACTGCAAAATGAGTGGCTGTGAATCTTTCTTTCCATGGCTTTGCTTTTTCTCTGCCATACTTCACGTTTGATTTGCCATTGTTCCATACAGATTCTCCATCCTTTAACACGCAATTACGGTAAACCCTGGTTGACAAACAGCAAGGTGTCAACTCCCTGTAAACCAGCTGAGTGCCCTGACTTTCCCGTGTCATCTCCAGAGGTATTGTAAGGCCCCAGAGTCCAGCCTAACAGCTGCCTTTAACTGAAACAATCACCTACTAATCCTGCCTCACCTTGATAACTGCACTGTTGATAATACTGTGTGGTAATAAGTCTCAACCCAGCATTTCCAGGCAGACACCAGAGTAAGGGGTCAACAGAAAAGACGGCTTGTAGCTCCTCAACCTTGCCACCACTGCGGGCTCTTGACCTCTTTTGCTTTTTGTTCTCCTGCTCATTCTTAATTTTGCTTTTCTCCCCTGGGAGAGTGAAGTACAGGAGATTATACCCAGACCTGAGTCCAGTTTCTTTTCAAGTTGATGGTATCCTTTTGCTTCTAGACAGAGTTTCAGCAAGAAATACTGTAATCCTTTTTAGGAGAGAGTGAAAGGCAGTGTCATTTGCAAGAGAATCACTTAAAAGAATGTGGATTGAGTTTTCTCTTTGGGCAAGGTCCTTCTGACTGTCTGGTATGTTTATTTCTGTCCAAGAACACTGCGTGGTTGAGACAGAAGCCTTTTAGTCATCAGTGCAGGGGGTCAGGGGCTCAGCTAGGCACAAAATTATCTCTCATGCTCAAAAGGTGTGTATCTTTATTAGACTTAGTGATTTTTAGTCAGTATGCCCTTTTTTAAATACATGCTCTATAGGGATAAGATATTTAGGTTATATAAAATTTGCCAAGATTAGCTCCTATATCAGATCATTTATGTTTTAACTAGAAGTCAACTGTATGTCTTTTAAAGAAACTTCTCTGTAAAATGATAAACATATGCACGTATTTGACCAGAATCATAAGAATTGGGTGGGGGAGAATCTCTAAATAACTGTTCCTGAAACCAAGGAGGCATTTCATATTAAAGGCAAGGACTCTTGGATGCAAGTAACTTAGTACCTCTCGAAAGCCTTTTATGCTTTTCCAAAACTCTTTCTTACGTATTATTTAACCCTCACACCCATAATGAGAGGCTGGCAGAGGAAATGTCGTTGCCCTCCTGAGATCGAAATGATGGAAATGGAAATTGCTGATGGCTGTAGACTCGGGGCACAAACCCGTCCTCATCCCCCAGCCCCTCATCCCTCTCCCTTCCCCCGAGTGAGCAGTGTGATTTCGTATCATAGGTTCTGTCTCGAGGTGTCACTTCTGTTGGATCTGTTGTGACCAGAACTGAAAGTGGTGGAGGGAACCTTATGTGAGACGTTTGTTTCACACTTGATCTTGGCCAAAAGGCGGAGAAGCGATGAGACGTTTGTTTTAAATATTTAGGGCTGTGCTACTCCATTAATTCAAGTTTGTAAAAAAGTGGAAACCCCCCCAAATTAAAGTCTTTAGGTAATAGAAAACTAGGTATGATTTCAGGTAGCCTCATGAGACAAAACAACAGTATCCTTCCATGGCGGGGTCTTTCAGAGGATGGATAGCTTTGTGACCATAAAATGAAACACATCAAGGCACCTGACGAGTGCTTCTGGTGTTCCGTGGGAAGGAGCTGTCACCTTGCATAATAGGTCTCATCACCTGCGAGTCCTCACTCTCTCTTGGGTTGCTGAGATTCTAAGGTAGGGATTTAGCTGGAGCAGAGCTGTCAGAGTTCATTTGGGCAAGTTACTGCCCTCCTCAGGCCCTCCTTTTTCATGATTGTGAAAAAGTGATTAGGTAAGTGTGAGGATTGATTGTGGTTAGATGTGTGATAATATTTTGAACACTCAGGTAATCTATGTATATGAACTCTATTTACATGCTATGCTTAGATGTATAGAGAGAATATGTAAATGAACTATGGATATCATTAATATTAATAAATTGCAAGTCTGATGTATCAGGTCTTACATATGCTTTATTAAGCATTTAAAAGTATTTGATAAAGGAAAATTAATTTTGAAAAGCACATATAATTATATAGATTTATTTCCTCCAAACAGCTCCCTGACTGTGAGCTTACTGAGGAATGCAATATCCTTATACTTCTCAGGAGATTTGTTTTTTCTTTTTTTAACTTTGGGAGAATTTTCAAAGTGTTGTAGTGATGAAGAAAAAGTGCAGTGATTTTAGACTTATAATAAAAATTTCATAGTTGTGATTGATTGAATGCTTGTAAGAATTTTAAGAGAATCATCCCAAAATGTTGCCTAGGTATCTTGTGTGTAAGGACCATAGAAGGTGATGGGGCCAAGAGATAAAAGTGACGTCTTAACAGATGAATAAAATGTCACTTTGGGGGGCCATTTTGTTTGTTTAAATGATGGCTGTGTAAGCATTTCTTATTTTCTTTCTGTACTGTTTATTTCTGTCTTGGTCCCTAAAAGCCTTGCAAGCAGCAGATAATCCAAACACAATTTTTCAGAGCCCCATCTTCTCTCTGTACCATGCAATCACCATCCTCGTTTTTTGGCTGAACTCTGTGATATTCACTGACTGTCTGCGAGATACTAACACACTCACAGTTTGTTGCCTGGGGTAATCTCCATTTTCGTATCTTCTCTCCAACATGGACTCATCTCCTTTAGAGGGTCCCCTCTGAACTCAGGGAGAGAATAAGCCGTTAGTAGGTGGGAGCCCAGGGCCTTGTTTAACCAATGGGCTCTCCCCTCCACCTCCCAAGTGTTAGCGGAGGGTTCCCACAGCCTGCGAAGAGGTGTCGGTGGAGGATCTTGGGACAAAGGTGGTGTCTGAAATGTCTTTTCCCTGATTAACCACAGGGGACGCCGATACAGGGAAGCAAACTCCGACTTCCGGGGTACTTGTCAGGGAAAGGCTTCCACTCCGGGGAGGACAGCGGCTTAATCACCACCGCAGCTGCCAGAGTGCGGACCCAGTTTGCCGGTGAGTCTGGGGTGTCTCCTCCCTGATGTGATCTAAAGGTGAGAGCCCCATTTCTTCCTAGTCCGGGAAAACACACTGATGCTGCTGCGTGCTTCTGAAACGACAGGTGGTTCCAGTCATCCATTTAAGGTAGGGGATCAATGGGCCAGGGGAATAAGGGACTCAAAAAATCCCTTTCAGAAAGTACCAGAGAAAGATGAGAGAGTGACTGTGGAATCAAAGAAAAGCTGCAACAGTATCTACCCCTTCAGGCCAGAAGGTCAGGCCTCCTTAGCTGCTCGATAATTGTGCTGGGCTCTGTTTTGGGTGGTTGGAAAAGCCCAACCACTCTGGTTCTGACCCCAGGGTCCTGAGCACAGCAAGCCTCAGTTCAGTTCAGTTCAGTTGCTCAGTCGCGTCCACTCTTTGTGACCCCGTGAACCGCAGCACACCAGGCCTCCCTGTCCATCACCACCTCCCGGAGTTTACACAAACTCATGTCCATCAAGTCTGTGATGCCATCCAACCATCTCATTCTCTGTCGTCCCCTTCTCCTCCTGCCCTTAATCTTTCCCAGCATCAGGGTTTTTCCAGTGAGTCAGCTCTTCATATCAGGTGGCCAGAGTATTGGAGTTTCAGCTTCAGCATCAGTCCTTCCAATGAACACCCAGGACCAATCTCCTTTAGGATGGACTAGGTGGATTTCCTCGTGGTTCAAGGGACTCTCAAGAGTCTTTTCCAACACCACAGTTCAAAAGCATCAATTCTTCAGTGCTCAGCTTTCTTTATAGCAAGGCTGAAGCATCTTTAAACTTCCAGTTGTTTGTCTTCCGTCCCTTATGCTTGAATTCCTTATCCGCGGGTAGAACGTGCACCACGTGCATGCTCTGCATGTGCACTGCACACGTCCCGAGGGCAGACCTGCCGCACTTCGGAAAACACGGTGTCCAGTTCAGTACCTCTCATCCGTCCATCTGTGTGGACTTCCCTTTCAGGTGGGATGGCCCCCCACCTCCACTCTGTGTGTGTACCCAGCTTTTGGTGCATTTCATCCACTTAAGGGTCGCAGCAAGGCCATAAAACCCACAGGTGTTGCCTGAGCACCTCCTTGGTGTCCAGCAGACCGGCTGAGATTGAATGTGGTGTTGAGCTTCGAGAACCGGTGGCAATGGGCGCAGGCGGCAGGATGACCTGTCTCCGCCCTCTCTCTCCTCAGATCCCAGGAGGACCCCGAGCCGACCCGGGAGCCGAGCCGGCAGCAAAGCCGGCAGCCGGGCCAGCAGCCGCCGCGGCAGTGACGCCTCGGACTTCGACATCTCGGAGATCCAGTCCGCGTGCTCCGACGTGGAGATTGTCCCCCCGACACACAGGCCTACGCCCCGAGCAGGTTCTCGGCCGCCTGGAGCCAAGCCTTCCAAAATCCCCACGCCCCAGAGGAAATCACCTGCCAGCAAATTGGACAAGTCCTCCAAGAGATAGTGCAGTTGGTTCCACCGTGGCCCTTCCTGAAGCCTTTACTATTTAAGTCTGAAAGATGTAACATATGATGTAGAGATTATTGTGAAATATTGCAAGAGGTGAGTTTAAAAATTCTGCAGATGGCCTTATCTGTGTATTTGTCTTTTTCTTTCCTCTGTATGATTTGGGGTCGGATAGTCTGGGGTTGGACTCACACCCTCTGTGAGGCGGGAGAGAGTGTTTGACAGGCACAGAGGTTCCTACACTGAGCACACAGTACCTGAAGGTAAGTCCCCAGCCTCCCGACAGCCAGCCCTGCACTGGGAGCGCACATGAAGGATACCTCATGACACTTCCCTACTTCTCTGCAAGCCCCGAAAAGCCAAAAGACACCCCCCGGGGATCCATTCCGAGACCATGTCAGTGTAAACTGCAAGATGGGGGGCAGAAAGACAGACACACCCACCACTGTTCTTATCCTCCTACCTGACAGAGAACTCACAGAAAATTCCTTTCCGCGCCTTCCCATGCTCTGAGATTCCCAGACTCTTGTGCGTTTCTGTGCCCGTGGCTTCGCCTGAGGCCAGAGGCCACCTGGACCTGAGACCTAGTACCCTGTAAGAGTATCATCATAAAGTGCATTCATCTAAATGTGAGGTTTTCTTTTGCTTGAGTGGACAGTAGCACCTGTACCATTGAACTCATTTTGTATCAAAGCAAGTTTGCTTGCAGAAAAGCTATGAAATAAAATATGTCCCTTAACTACATTGCTATGGAATTAATTTTTTTCCCCAGGGAAAAAAAAAAATCAGTGTATTTTTTTATGAGCAAATATCCATTTGGAGTGACCAAAAGAGACTTAAAAATGGGTTTATTTTGATTTTCTCATCTGAAATAATCATGTTCTGGTATTATATCTATATTTAATAAATATATACCTTTTAATTTATTATGTATACTCACATACTATAGAAAGATATTATTATAGTATGCATTTAATAAAACATATTCACTTGAACATATGGAATAACTGATTTCTTTAAAGTGAATTTTTCCCGTTTATTTGTTTTAAATAAATGTTATATGGATGATATCTCTTTAGTAACAGTGTGATAGGCTAAGTTTGGGGGACAGAAACACGAGGATATAATATATAATGAGCAAATGATAAAACAACATTCACCAGTCATTCTACTTTTAATTCAGTAAGTACCAACCATGTGCCAGCCACTGTTGGTGACACAGCTTATAGGGTCCCCAGCCCTCTTCTGTTCAAAAGGGGAAAAGTTAATAAATCACTAAGAAACAGAACCAAAAGCAGGGAATGTATGACAGGGTAATGTAGTTATATCCTCTTAGCCTGCGTACATTTAAGAATGGAATGGTAGAGTTTTATTAAAAACGGCATCAAATGTGATTAGAAGGACATGACCAGTTATGACTTCCCTCAAGTGGCAGTGGTGGTGTTCAGGTTCAAGGTGATAATCACGTGTTCCTCACATGGCCTTTATCATGGAGGACCTGGAGTCTCCACGGACAGAAATTCAGTACCACTTGCAAGTGACAAAAACTTCTTTCTCAAAGCATGGGCCTCAAGTGTGTGCCTTTGATGGGAAGCATAGTTCTAACCTAAGAGATAGTGTGTTGTGATTCATGCATTCTATTGTAAACACGTCATCTGAGAAGGCAGTTGAAGTTGTTGTTACTCCTTTGGTGCTCTGAAGATGCTTGCATGTCCAGAGACAAATTTAAGAACATAATTTTATCTCAGCTCATTTGAATGCTGCCCCTGTTAAAGAGCTAGGGATTTTGCCTTTTTGTAACAGAAAAATAAGCTTTAGGAGAAGGGTAAGTGGTTTAAAATATTCCTGAGCGTCTTCAGGAGCTGCTCTCAGTTACTAGCAGCTGCCTTGTGGGGAGCTTTTCACTCTCTGACGTCTGATGTTTATTTCCTCTTGAATGCGCGTTTTCTGGAGCCTCATGCTGACCTCTGAGGTCCTTCCTCCTATAAACTGTCCTCCTCCTCCCTTTGTACGTTGCCTTCTCTTTTCCTCTTCTTTTGGTCTTTCTCTTTTTGTATTCTTTCCTTCTTATTTTAAAAACATGACATTGGAATGACACACAGCACTAAAAATCAGTGTAAAGATTGGGTCTGTTAAAGATAAACTGAGGCATATTAAGAACTTTAAAAGACCTACAAAACAGAGACAGACTCACAGACATAGAGAACACAGTGGTGGTTGCCGTGCGGGTAGGGGTGGGAAGGGAAGGCCTGGGAGTATGGGCTCAACAGATGCAAACTATTATATATAGGATGGATAAACAACAAGATCCTACTACATAGTACAGTGAGCTATATTTAGTATCCCGGGATAAGCTATAATGGAAAAGAATATGACTATAAAACAGAATCAGTCTGCTGTACAGCGGAAATTAACACAACATCATAAACGAACTATACTTCAATAAAATTTTTTTTAAAGAATTTTAAGAGTTTATTTGAGCAAACTCCAATTCTAATCATGCAGCCCCAAACCAGAAGTGATTAGGAGTGTTCCACCAACTGGAGAACAGAGCAAGGACACTGCTGCATGGCCACTGCCCAGAGCCCCGCTGACCGCCTGTGGCCGGCTGTCCTCAGGGTTCCATCTCATAGCCTTGGCCGTATGGACTAGATCTGCAGGACCACCTGTTTGTTGGTTCACTCAGTGTCTTCCACAGATGTCAGGGTAGAGGAATGGGCCCTACGGAAAGGGACATGCCTTTTGAGTATGCAGGACTAGAAAAAACAAGGTGGCTAGCGTGGGAAAGGAGACCCACCTTTGAACTGTACGTCAGTTACGTCTCAGTAAAACTGGACAGGAGAGAAGGTGAGGGCGTTACCTTACCTAACTGCACTGACTTACTGCTCTCAGCAAATTAGAAGCAACAGTGTCTTGCTTAAAGAAAGGGTCTTAGGTTATGATGTTTCAAGGTTATGAGCCAAAAAGGTTTGAAATAGTTGAGACCAGGGCAGGTCTACAATTACCCTGATCTTCAGAGTGCAGTCATGCAAGGTTAATTGAAAGTTAAGCTGAAATCAAAATGTTTACAGACAAGGAAAAGCTAGAAGAATTCAGCACCAACAAACTAAGTATATAACAAATGCTAAAGGAATTTCTCTAAGTGGAAAGGAAAAGGCCATAACTAGAAACAAGAAAATTACAAAATGGGAAAGCTCACCAGTAAAGGCAAACATATAGTAAAAACAGGAAATCATCAACACACAAATATACCAAAACCAGGAATCATGAGAGGAGGAGAGTACAAAGGCCTGATTTTGAAATTGGGGGATCAACTTAAACCAAATTTTATATTTTTGTATATATACCAAATTATATATATGTATATATATGTATGTGTGTCTATATATACACACATTCATACATACTGCTATGTCAAAACCTTGTAATCAAACCAAAAATCTACAGTGCTGCTGCTGCTAAGTCACGTCAGTAGTGTCTGACTCTATGCGACCCCATAGACGGCAGCCCACCAGGCTCCCATCCCTGGGATTCTCCAGGCAAGAACACTGGAGTGGGTTGCCATTTCCTTCCCAATGTATGAAAGTGAAAAGTGAAAGTGAAGTCCCTCAGTCATGTCTGACTCTCCACCACCCCATGGACTGCAGCCCACCAGGCTCCTCCTCCATGGGATTTCCCAGGCAAGAGGACTGGAGTGGGTCGCCATTGGCTTCTCTGAAAATCTACAATAGATACACAAAAAGAAAAATAACCCAAACTCAACATTAAAGATAATCATCAAATCTCAAGAGAACAAAAGAGGAAGGTGAGATAAAAAGACCTACAAAAATATACAAAGCAATAAAACAAAAAAATGGCAATTATATATATATATACACACACACACATATATATATGTAATTACATTAAATGTAGAGAGATTAAATGCCCCAACCAAAAGACATAGACTGCCTGAATTGATTTTTTAAAAAAATGAAACCCATATGTATGCTGTCTACAAGAGATCTACTTCAGATTTAGGAACACCTGCAGACTGAAAGTGAGGGAATGGAAAAAGTTATTCCATGCAAATGGAAATCAAAAGGAAACTGGAGTAGCAATACTCGTATCAGATAAAACAATTTAAAGACTGCTAAAGAGACAGGGACATGACATTGTTATCAAGGGATCAACCCAAGAAGAATACATAACAATTGTGGATATATATGCACCAACATAGGAGCACCTCAATACTTAAGACAAATATTAACATGCATAAACGGGAAAATTGACACTACCACAGTAATAGTGGGGGACTTTAACACCTCACATCAATAGATCAGGCAGAGAATGAGGAAACACAGGCTTTGAATGATACATTAGACCATATAGGCTTAATTAATGTTTATAGAACATTCTATCTGAAAGCAGCAGAATACACACTTTTCAAGTGCTTATGGAACATTTTCCAGGATAGATCATGTGCTGGAACACAAATCAAGCCTTGGTAAATTTAGAAAACTGAAATTTTATCAAGCATCTTTTCTGACCACAATATTATGAGATTAAGAATCAGCTACAATTAAAAAAAATTGCAAAAACCAAATACGTGGAAGTTAAATAATATGCTACTGAACAACCAATGGGTCCCTGAAGAAATAAAGAGAAAATCAAAGAATACCTAGAGACAAATTAAAATGAATACCCAATGATCCAAAACCAATGACAGTCTTCCCTGGTGGTCCACTGTCTATGACTCCATGCTCCCCAAACAGAGGGCCTGGGTTTGATCCCTGGTCAGGGAACTAGATGCCACATGCTGCAACTAAGAGTTTGCATGCCACAACTGAAAGATAAAACACAACACAACTAACGATCTTGCATGTCACAACTAAGATCTGGTGCAGTCAAATAAGTAAATAAATATTTCAAAGTAAAATTTTCAGAAACCTGTAAGATGCAGAAAAACAGCTCTTAAGACATTTATAGCTATACAAGCTTATCTCAGGAAATGAGAAATCTTTTTTTTTTGGAAATGAGAAATCTTTAAACAACCTAAGCTTCAGTTGAGTTCAGTCGCTCAGTCGTGTCCGACTCTTTGTGACCCCATGAACTGCAGCACGCCAGGCCTCCCTGTCCATCACCAACTCCCAGAGTTTACTCAAACTCATGTCCATCGAGTTGGTGATGCCATCCAACCATCTCATCCTCTGTTGTCCCCTTTTCCTCTTGCCTTCTATCTTTCCCAGCATTAGGGTCTTTTCAAATGAGTCAGTTCTTTGCATCAGGTGGCTAAAGTATTGGAGTTTCAGCTTCAGCATCAGTCCTTCCAGTGAGCACCCAGGACTGATTTCCTTTAGGATGGACTGGTTGGATCTCCTTGCAGTCCAAGGGACTCTCAAGGGTCTCCTCCAAAACCACAGTTCAAAAGCATCAATCACTGTGATGCAACAAGATAACAAACTAAAGAACAAAAGATACGGTCATATTAATAGATACAGAAAAATACTACAGGCAGCCAGATGCCAATTAACTGAACAATCTAGAAGAAATGGACAAATTCTAATAAAGGTACAATCGTCTGAGACTGAATTAGGAAGAAATAGAAAATATACATAGATCAGTTACAAATACTGAAACTGAATCTATGATTTATAAACTCCCAACAAATGAAAGCCCAGGACCAGATAGCTTCACAGGAGAATTCTATCAAACATTAAAAGAAGAATTAATGCCCATCCTTCTGAAACTATTCCCAAAAATTGCAGAGTAAGGAATACTTCTAAACTCTTTCTATGATACCAACATCACCCTGGTAACAAGACAAAGATATCACCCCCAAAAAATTATCAGCCAATCTCAATGATGAACATAGACACAAAATTCCTCAACAAAATACTAGCAAATCAAATCCAACAATACATTAAAAGGATCAAACACCATGATCAAATGGGGCTTATTTCAGGGATTAAAGGATTTTTCAATACAAATTCATCAATCAGTGTGATGAAATGAATTAACAAACTGAAGAATAAAAAATATGGTCATATTAATAGATGTAGAAAGAGATTTTCATAAAATTCAACATCTATTGTGACAAAAACTCTCCAGAAAGGGGATGTAAAGGGAACATACCTCAGCATAATAAAGGCTTATATGAAAAGTCCACAGTTAACATCATACTCAATGGTGAAAAGTTGAAAGCATTTCCTCTAAAATCAGGACCAGTACATGGATGTCCACTCTTGTCGCTTTTATTCAACATAGTTTTGGAAGTCCTAGCCTTGGCAGTCAGAGAAGAAAAAGGAATAAATATTATCCAAGTTGGAAAGGAAGAAGCAAAACTGTCAGTATTTGCAGACAACATGATACCATACATAGAAAATCTTAAGGACAGTATCTGAAAACTGGAGCTCATCCATGAATCTGCTAAAGTTATAAGATACAAAATTAATACACAGAAACTTCTTGTATTTCTATATGCTAACAACAAAAGATCAGAAACGAGAAAATTAACAATCTAACTAAGGAGGTAAAAGACCTGTATGATGAAAACAGTAAGACACTGTTGAAAGAAATTAAAGATGGGCTTCCCTGGTAGCTCAGATGGTAAAGCGTCTGCCTGCAATGTGGGAGACCTGGGTTTGATCTCTGGGTTGGGAAGATCCCCTGGAGAAGGAAATGGCACCCCACTCCAGTATTCTTGCCTGGAAAATCCCATGGACTGAGGATCCTGGTAGGCTACAGTCCATGGGGTCACAAAGAGTCGGACGTGACTGAGCGACTTCACTTCAATGGAAAGATACACCATGTTCTTGAACTGGAAGAATTCATACTGTCAAAATGACTATACTAACCAAGGTAATCTACAGATTCAATGCAGTTCCTATCAAAATGCCAATGGCATTTCTTGATAGAACAAGATCAAAAATTGCTTTAATTTATAAGGAAACATAAAAGACTTCAAATACCCAGAGCAATCTTGAGAAAGAAAAATGGAGCAGGAGGAATAAGGATCCCTGACCTCACACAGTATCATAAAGCCACCATAATCAAACAGTATGGCACCAGCACAAAGGCAGAAATATAAATCAATGGAACACAATAGAAAGTCCAGAAATAAGCTCACACACCATTAGTCAATAATCTATAACGAAGGAGGCAAGAATATGCAATGGAGAAAAGACAGTCTCTTCAAAAAGCAGTGCTGGGAAAACTGGACAGCTGCATGTGAAAGAATGAAATCAGAACATTCTCTAACACCATACACAAAAAAACTCAAAATGGATAAAAGGCTTAAATTTAAACCAGACATTATAGAAGTGCTGGAGGAAGACATAGGCAGAATACTCTTTGACATAAATTACAGCATTATCTTTTTGGATCTGTCTCCTAGAGTAATGGAAACAAACAAAAGGGATCTAATTAAACTGAAACTCAAAATCTTTTGCACAGTAAAGGAAACCATAAACAAAATAGACAACCTCTGGACTGGTGGAAAATATTGTAAATGAAGCAACTGACAAGGAATTAATCTCCAAAATATACAGAGAGTTCATGCAACTTAATATCAAAGAAACAACTCAAACAAAAAATATGTAGAAGGTCTAAATAGACATTTCTCCAAAGAAGATATACAGATGACCAACAGGCACAGAAAAGATTCTCAACATCACTAATTATTAGAGAAATGCAAAAAAAAACTACAATAAGGTGTCATCTCACACTAGTCAGAATGACAATCATCAAAAGTCTACAAATAATAAATGCTGGAGAGGGTGTGGGGAAAAGGGAACCCTCCTACATTGTTGGTTGGCATGTAAATTGATATTACTGTATGGAGAGCAGTATGGAGATTTCTAAAAAAAAAAAAACTAGAACCACCATACGACTCTACAGTTCCACTTCTAGACATATATTTGGAGAAAATTATAATTTGAAAAGATATATGTATCTTAATGTTTATTGCAGCACGATTTACAATAGACAAGACATGGAAGCAACCTAGATGTCCATTGACAGATGAATGGATAAAGATGTGATATACACAATGGACTGTTAGTCATAAAAAAGAATGAAATACTGCCACTTACAAAAATCATCCAAAAAAATAGAAAAGGAATAAACACTTCACAGTTCATTTTATGAGGCATCACCTTGATACCAAAACCAAAGGCATTACAAGAAAGGAAAACTGTATATTAATACCAATATCACTCATGAATATGGATACAATAATCCTTAAAAGTTAGCAAATCAAATACAAAAATATATAATAAAAATAATACATCATGACTGATACAGACTGACTGGTGTCCTCCCCATCCTACCCTAGCCAAACTCATAAGTTGAGGCTCTAACCTGCAATATGACTATAGTCAGAGACAAGGGCTCTAAAGAGATAACTAAGGTTAAATGGGGTCATAAAAGCGGGCCATAATCCTGAGGGCTAGTGTTCTTGCATGAAGAAGGAGAGACCTGAGACCTCTCACTGCAGGTCCACAGAGGAAAGACAGTGTGAGAGCTCATCAAGGAGGGCCTTCCGCAAGCCAATAGAGATCGCACCAGAAACCAGTCCTAATAGCAACTTTGGATTGTAGTTGTTGTTCAGTGGCCCAGTTGTGTCCAACTCTTTGCAGCCCCATGGACTGCAGCACACCGGGCCTCCCTGTCCCTCAACATCACCTGAAATTTACCCAAGATCATGTCCATTGCATCAGTGATGCCATCCAGCCAACTCATCCTCTGATGCCCTCTTCTTCTGCCCTCAATCTTTCCCAGCATCAGGGACTTTTCCAGTGAGTCAGCCGTTCGCATCAGATGACCAAAATACTGGAGCTTCAGCTTCAGCATCAGTGCTTCCAATGAGTATTCAGGATTGATCTCCCTTAAGATTGACTGGTTGGATCTCCTTGCAGTCCAAGGGACCCTCAGGAATCTTCTCCAGCACCACAGTTCAAAGGCATCAATTCTTCGGTGCTCTGCCTTCTTTACAGTCCAGCTCTCAACAACAGTATGTGACCACTGGAAAGACCAAAGCCTTGACTAAGCAGACCCTTGTCGGCAGAGTAATGTCTCTACTTTCCAATACACTGTCTAGGTTTGTCATAACTTTCCTGCTGAGAAGCAATCACCTTCTGATTTCATGGCTGCAGTCACCATCCTCAGTGATTTTAGAGCCCAAGAAGAGGAGGTCTGTCACTGCTTCCACATTTTCCTCTTCTATTTGCCATGGAGTAATGGGGCCATATGCCATGATCTTAGTTTTTTTAATGTTTAGTTTTAAGCCACCTCTTTCACTCTCCTTCACCCTCATCAAGAGGCTCTTTAGTTCCTCTTTGCTTTCTGCCATATCTGAGGTTGTTGAAGTTTCTCCCACTTATCTTGATTCCAGCTTGTGACTCATCCAGTCTGGCGTTTCTCATAATGTGCTCAGTGTATACGTTAAACACGGTGACAGCGGACAGCCCTGTTGTCCTCGGTTCTCAATCCTGAACCAGTCAGCTGTTCCATACAGGGCTCTAACCGTTGCTTCCTGACCCACTTCCAGGTTTCTCAGGAGACAGGTTAAGATGCTCTGAGTTTCCCATCTCTTTAAGAGCCTTCCTCAGTCTGTTATGATCCACACAGTCAAAGGCTTTAGTGGAGTCAATAAAACAGAGGTAGATGTTTTTCTGGAATTCCCTTGCTTTCTCTATGATCCAGCAAATGTTGGCAATTTGATCTTGGATTCCTCTGCCTTTTCTAAACCCAGCTTAGATATCTGGAAGTTCTTGATTTCCATAATGCTGAAGCCTAGCATGCAAGATTTGGATTATAGCCTCTAAAATGTGAGAAAATAAATTTCTGTTTTTGAAGCCATCCAATCTGTGGTATCCTGGTATGGCGGCCCTAGAAGACTAATACAGTGACCAAATTTAAGTGTTTATCCCAGGAATGTGAGGTTGGATTAACACTGAAAAGCTAAGCATTTTTTTCCATTATATTAACTGACTTAAAAAAAAAAAGACAAATCATATGATAACCTCAGCAGATGCAGAAATAGCATTTGATGATCTTCAAATGCCATTCATGAGAAAAAAAAATGTTTCAGTAAACTCGAAGTGGAAGGGAACTTTCTCAACTCAATAAAGAAGAGCTAACATTGTATTTAACAGTGGAGACTGACTGCTTTCCTTCAAGGTCAGAAATGAGGCAAAGACATTTTCTCTCACCTCTCCCATTCAACAGCTTAGTAGAAGCTAAGTGCACTACAGTAAGGCCAGTAAAAGAATGAAAGATTTATAGACTGGCAAGAGCAGTGGCTGCGTGAGCGCAGGAGGGGGGAAAGGAGCTACTCCATGTTCAAGGTCAGGAGGGGCGGCTCTGAAGAGATACCCCTCGTCCAAGGTAAGGAGCAGCGGCTGCGCTTTGCTGGAGCAGCCTTGAAGAGATACCCCACGTCCAAGGTAAGAGAAACCCAAGTTAAGATGGTAGGTGTTGCGAGAAGGCATCAGAGGGCAGACACACTAAAACCATAATCACAGAAAACTAGCCAATCTGATCACAGGACCACAGTCTTGTCTAACTCAATGAAACTAAGCCATGCCGTGGGGGGCCACCCAAGATTGACCAGTCATGGTGGAGAGGTCTGACAGAATGTGGTCCACTGGAGAAGGGAATGGCAAACCACTTCAGTATTCTTGCCTTGAGAACCTCATGAACAGTATGAAAAGGCAAAATGATAGGATACTGAAACAGGAACTCCCCAGGTCAGTAGGTACCCAATAAGCTACTGGAGATCAGTGGAGAAATAACTCCAGAAAGAATGAAGGGGTGGAGCCAAAGCAAAAGCAATGCCCAGTTGTGGCTGGTACTGGTGATAGAAGCCAGGTCCGATGCTGTAAAAAGCAATATTGCATAGGAACATGGAATGCTAGGTCCATGAATCAAGGCAAATTGGAAGTGGTCAAACAGGAGATGGCAAGAATGTCAACATTCTAGGAATCAGCAAACTAAAATGGACTGGTATGGGTGAATTTAACTCAGATGACCATTATATCTACTACTGTGGGCAGGAATCCCTTAGAAGAAATGGAGTAGCCATCATGGTCAACAAAAGAGTCTGAAATGCAGTACTTGGATGCAATCTCAAAAATGACAGAATGATCTCTGTTCGTTTCCAAGGTAAACCATTCAATATCATGGTAATCCTGATAGAAGCTGAAGAAGCTGAAGTTGAACAGTTCTATGAAGACCTATAAGACCTTTTAGAACTAACACCCAAAAAAGATGTCCTTTTCATTATAGGGGACTGGAATGCAAAAGTAGGAAGTCAAGAAACACCTGGAGTAACAGGCACATTTGGCCTTGGGGTACGGAATGAAGCAGGGCAAAAGCTAATAGAGTTTTGCCAAGAGAACGCACTGGTCAGAGCAAACACCCTCTTCCAACAGCACAAGAGAAGACTCTACACATGGACATCACCAGATGGTCAACACCGAAATCAGATTGATTATATTCTTTGCAGCCAAAGATGGAGAAGCTGTATACAGTCAGCAAAAACAAGACTGGGTGCTGACTGTGGCTCAGATCATGAACTCCTTATTGCCAAATTCAGACTTAAATTGAAGAAAGTAGGGAAAACCACTAGACCATTCAGGTATGACCTAAATCAAATCCCTTATGACTATACAGTGGAAGTGAGAAATAGATTTGGAGGTTTGTGATATTGTACAAGAGACAGGATCAAGACCATCCCCATGTAAAAGAATGCAAAAAGGCAAAATTGTTGTCTGAGGAGGCCTTACAAATAGCTGTGAAAAGAAGAGAAGCAAAAAGCAAAGGAGAAAAGGAAAGATATTACCATTTGAATGCAGAGTTCCAAAGAATAGCAAGGGGAGATAAGAAAGCCTTCCTCAGCAATCAATGCAAAGAAACAGAGGAAAACAACAGAATGGGAAAGACTAGAGATCTCTTCAAGAAAATTAAAGATACCAAGGGAACACTTCATGCAAAGATGGGCCCAATAAAGGACAGAAATGGTATGGACCTAGCAGAAGCAGAAGATATTAAGAAGAGGTGTCAAGAATACACAGAAGAACTGTACAAAAAAGATCTTCATGACCCAGATAATCACGAGGGTGTGATCACTCACCTAGAGCCAGACATCCTGGAATGTGAAGTCAAGTGGGCCTTAGGAAGCATCACTACAAACAAAGCTAGTAGAGGTGATGGAATTCTAGTTGAGTTATTTCAAATTCTGAAAGATGATGCTGTGAAAGTGCTGCACTCAATATGCCAGCAAATATGGAAAACTCAGCAGTGGCCACAGGACTGGAAAAGGTCAGTTTTCATTCCAATCCCAAAGAAAGGCAGTCCCAAAGAATGCTCAAACTACTGCACAATTGCACTCATCTCACATGCTAGTAAAGTAATGCTCAAAATTCTCCAAGCCAGGCTTTAGCAATACATGAACCATGAACTTCCAGATGTTCAAGCTGGTTTTAGAAAAGGCAGAGGAACCAGAGATCAAATGGCCAACATTCTCTGGATCATCTAAAAAGCAAGAGAGTTCCAGAAAAACACCTACTTCTGCTTTATTGACTATGCCAAATTTGACTGTGTGGATCACAATACACTGTGGAAAATTCTGAAAGAGATGGGAATACCAGACCACCTGACCTGCCTCTTGAGAAACCTGTATGCAGGTCAGGAAGCAACAGTTAGAACTGGACATGAAACAACAGACTGGTTCCAAATAGGAAAAGGAGTATGTCAAGGCTGGATATTGTCACACTGCTTATTTAACTTATATGCAGAGTACATCATGAGAAACGCTGGGCTGGAAGAAGCACAAGCTGGAATCAAGATTGCCGGGAGAAATATCAATAATCTCAGATATGCAGATGACACCACGTTTATGGCAGAAAGTGAAGAGGAACTAAAAAGCCTCTTGATAAAAGTGAAAGAGGAGAGTGAAAAAGTTGGTTTAAAGCTCAACATTCAGAATACTAAGATCACGGCATCTGGTCCCATCACTTCATGGGAAATAGGTGGGGAGACAGTGGAAACAGTGTCAGACTTCATTTTTGGGGCTCCAAAATCACTGCAGATGGTGATTGCAGCCATGAAATTAAAAGACGCTTACTCCTTGGAAGGAAAGTTATGACCAACCTAGATAGCATATTAAAAAGCAGAGACATTACATTGCCAACAAAGGTCTGTCTAGTCAAGGCTATGGTTGTTCCAGTAGTCATGTATGGATGTGAGAGTTGGACTGTGAAGAAAGCCAAGTGCCAAAGAATCAATGCTTTTGAACTGTGGTATTGGAGAAGACTCTTGAGAGTCCCTTGGACTGCAAGGAGATCCAACCAGTCCATCCTAAAGGAGATCAGTCCTGGGTGTTCATTGGAAGGACTGATGTTGAAGCTGAAACTCCAGTACTTTGGCCACCTGATGCGAAGAGCTGATTCATTGGAAAAGACCCTGATACTGGGAGGGATTGGAGGCAGGAGGAGAAGGGGCTGATAGAGGATGAGATGGCTGGATGGCATCACCGACTCGATGGACATGGGTTTGAGTAAATTCCGGGAGTTGGTGATGGAGCAGGGAGGCCTGGTGTGCTGCGATTCATGGGGTTGCAAAGAGTCAGACAGGACTGAGCGACTGAACTGAACTGAAGTGAAAGAGGAATGAAATTATCTTAATTCTCAGATTACACTATTGTCCACATAGACTATCGTATGGAATTTACAAAATAAGATACAGATGACTTTAGCAAGGTCACCACATATAAAGTCAGTATAATCAGTTGTATTTCCACATGCTAGCAATAACTAGTTGCAAGTTAAAAATAAAAATTATAATAGCAAAACCCCCAAATGCTTAGGGGTACATTTAACAAAATGTATGCAAATTTGTACACAAACTAAAAAATTTTGAGAAAAATGAAAAACAACTTAAAAGGTACTATATAGGTCAGAAGAGTTAATATTGTTGTGATGTCAATTATCCTCCAATTAATCTATAAATTGAGTGTAATCTCAAGCCAAATTCTAGAAGATTTTTTTTTTTTTAGAAAATTGATAAGATTTTCTTTTAAAAAAAAGAGTTGGATGTTGTTTTTTTTCAGGCTCAAAAGGATGAGCAAGGGATTGGAGCTGCAGGAAGAAGCAGAATCACATTTTAGGGTACCCAGAGGAAAGGGCTTGGGAAGAAGATGTGCTGTGGATGGGAGTTTGGATCAACTTGGTGGAAACTTGGTGGAAGGATAGAGCAGTAGGGATGAGAGCACAGGAAAAAATGTATGAATGTATGATCAAGAGGTACTTGTATTGGGGGCATTGTCTAAGGGTGAATTTTGGCAGCCTCAGCAGTTCATTTAAAAAATTAGTCTCAGCTGTTCCAAGTCTATATTGAT